TTTTTTTGCCTTCCATTACAGCCCAAGAACATTTCCCCCCCCCCCCCAATAAATTACGTCCAGGTGCAGCATTTTGGGCTGCAGCACGAATGGGAGATGATAGAGTCATTATCCACATGAGGAAATCCTTCTGTTCACAGAAACTGCCAGGATCTGACAGTGATAACCTCATGTTCTCTCCTTCTAGGGCTTCTGTAATGCATTCTGTGTAGGGCTGCCTTTGAAGATATCTCCAAAACATGGTGGCATGCTGCAGTGATAATTGCTTTGGTTACCAGTTGTTTTTAACCTAATTGGCCCTGGTTTCTAAAAAATAATAATGATCATCTCATGTATCAACCTGCCTCTACTTTACACCATTGATACTTAATGGCTCAGGAGTCATACATGGCTCTTTGAGATCCCACCTGTGCAGGCCTGTAGCAGGGGGTGGGGAGACATTCCCCCCCACAAATATGCCTGGCCCCCTCAGGAGGGGAGGGAGCCAGCAGGCACAACCTCACTGGGTCTTCCTGCTTCTGTAGTAGATTGTTGTGAGGTGAGGCAGTGCCTCTCTCCCTGACCTCCTGAGGGGGCTGGGCTGCAGCCCAGCAGGATGGGAGGAGGAGGCGGGACCCTGAAGAGCAGGGAAGGGGGGAAGTTAAAAGGGCAGAGCTTTGCAGGAAGGGAGGCGTAGCAGGAGCATGCTCCTGCCAGATCAGCCAGCCTGCTGGCGGCCTCCCAAAGTAGATGTCTAACCGACGGTCGAGCTGCTTTGGTGTGCAGAAATAAGGATAGCGGGCTCATTTTTCCCTGAGAAGGCAGGGAGAGCACTCGGTGTGCGCTGCTCTTCCGAGACCACGAATGGTGCTGAGCCTGAGCAGGACCCAGTGAGAAGAAAGAGGTGGCAGTAGTGTGCACAAGTGGGAAGACGGGGTCAGCCAGCCAACACTTGCCGGTAACAGCTTCATTGCTTGGATGCCTTCTCCACGTGGAGCTGGAGGAGGTCCTGTTGCTCCACTGACTCCATGCCTGGTGGGATGTCAGAGCCCATCCTTGCCCAGTTTTTCACTCCACCTCCTTTTTGGGGAGAGGCTGGTATGGGACAATGTTGGGGATTTGGCTTTATTGCATGGAAGCAGGAAGACCTGGCATGTCCCCGCCCCCCCCAGTTGACACCCAAAAAAATTTCTGGCTATGGGGCTGCACCTGTGACTCTTCTAAGCACTGTTCCCAATATGGCACCTGCCTCAAGTTTTATGAAAGCGGGCAAGGCCCTTGCCCAATGGGCCTGTGGTTGGCAGTTGATTCCCACCTTGAAACAGCTGCAGCCAGAGAAATGAGTAAGCTGCAAGCCTCCCTGAAATATAGGCTTCATGCTGGGGATAGAAGTAAATGTAGCTGTTTTGGTTGATGATAATTGTATTTCCTGGCCTGGATAGCCCACGCTAGCTCGATTTCATCAGATCTTGGAAGCTAAGCAGGGTCAGCACTAGCTAGCATTTGAATGGGTGACCTCCAAGGAATAGGGAATGGCAAACCACTTGAAAGCCCCATGAGGTCACCTGAAGTCAGCTGTGACTTGATGCACTTTCCACCACCAGTTGTGAATGTGGTTCTTCATGAGCTGCAAAGTACCACTGATGTACAATGTGTTCGCAGAAACCTGTCTAGGTACCCTGGCCTTCTGAAGTGTGGGTTCAGGATGGTAAAACCTTTTCAGTAGTGGTGCCATGACTGAAATTCTCCCATGACACTGATCTAGTACCTTCTTTGGTTCTGCTTTTAAGTATCAGGTGACAACTTGATTTCATTTCATTTAGTATTTGATTGAGTTGTTGGTCTCATTGTCCTTTTTTAGTTTCATCAATCGATCACTCATGTCTTTATTGCATGAGCAAGCAAGGCATAGAAACAACGATTCCATCAAAATAAAAAAATTCCAGACACTTTAATAAGAAAAATTAAAATACATAATGATCGTTTAAAATATCTCAAAATAGAAGAGGAGGAGATTGGATTTATACCTCACCCTTCACTACCCCAAGGTGTCTCAGAGTGGCTTACAAACTCCTTTCCCTTCCCCTCCCCACAACAGACACTCTGTGAGGTAAGTGGGGCTGAGAGAGCTCTTGACAGAAACTGCTCTTTTTCAAGAACAGCTCTTATCAGAACTACGGCTTGCCCAAGGTCATCCAGCCAGGTGCAAGTGGAGGAGTGGGGAATCAAACTTTACAGTCCAAATTTTTTCCCCCATTGCTGGTCTTATCCTTTTGTGATTACAGTTTAAATGTTGTAACTTCTTTGGGGGCTGCTTTCAGTTTTACAAAAGTGGAAGAAATATTTTTTTATCTTTTTTCTTTTTTAAAGTAGGGTATCATTTTGTTTAGAAATCACATTTTCTAAATTGGAAGGCTATACACAATAGTAAATGCATCTGAACTGGTTGTGGGCACCAACTAATGAAAGAAAAGGATCCTCTTGCTTATTAGAAGTTCTAAAGCTGAGCTGGCAATAATGCCCACATCCAGCTTCAAAAAATTAACACAAGAGGGATTATTATTCACAGAGGGTATTTAAATCTTACTAGGAGAGCAAATCTCTTGACTTGTAATATGAGAAGCATACATAAAATTCAGTTTCAGTAAATGTTGGCACTGTTAAATGTCTTTCTCTCACCTGCCTTCAGAAAGTGGTAGAGCATTCAACCACAGAAGCCTATACATAAACTAAATGCATTTATCTTCAATATTACCAATAACTCAAATGGAAGTCCTTATTACGTATGCCGTTCCTATAGATTGGAGTAGTTATCAAAGTGAGCCTGCTTCTGTAGCTGTATTCTAGCTCTGTAGTGGGGAAAGACTGCCACAAGTCCCACTGGACAAGAGCCTTGCCCACTTTCCTGAAACATTGGGGCAGTTGCTGCATTAGGGAATGGTGCTCAGAAGAGCACTGGGTGGCATACCGAAGAGCCACATGTGGCTCCTGGCACCGAGTATTATGAATGTAGTGCTCCATAGTAGCTATGAAATACGTGTTCTCTGTCCCTACCAAAGTCTAAATACTTCATGCTGGAACTGAGCCGGCAAAGATCTTTACTTAAAGTTCAGAGATTCCATATTATTTTCCACGGTATCTTGAATGTTCTATAACCAGCTCCTTACAGTTTGTGATTGTGTGTCTTTGGAGGACAGTTAGGTTTTTCCAGTTTGGAGGTGACATGATGGTGGTGGCAGCTTCCCAAGGTACAGGTTGCAGCTGGTCAGAATGCTAGTTGCTAGGACACCGGAAATAATTCTGACCACTCTTGGTCTTTCCACCAATCAGCTCTATAGTCAGCTGTTGTCCTTTGTTCACCCACAGCACAACTTCAGTTCTCCCAGCGGCAGTAGGGAAATCAAATTATGATGACTATTACAACCTCTAATTTTTTTTAGAACTAAATGTAGTTATGCCACAATTGCTTGCATTTCAGATGCCTTTTAGAAGCACATACACAGCTCTTTGTGTTCATAGAGTTTTAAGAATAGCTTGATGGGGGATGGGGTGTTGTCATAAAATATCCCTTGAAACTGTACACAGAGCTGGGGATGTTTAGAACAGGGCAGTTGTATTTTTAATCCTTTTTGCAATGGCTGATTTCTTCTTCTATTATAGGTATGACAAACGGGAAGACCTGAAACCAGGTGACCAGCTCATGTTCTCGTACACACACATACTTATGGAGATGGATCCTATTCAGGTGTCACATTACAAGATGACCCACCGCATAGTGGCACAAATTCCTGGGACTACTGGGATTACCTTGAATTTCACTGTATTACCTCCATTTACTTTAAACTTGAAATCCCAACTAGCATTGTTGGAAAAGCTTCCCACTTAAGAACCATAATTCCCCCCCACACACACACACATGGGAACTGTGAGAGACCGAAAGAATCTTTCAGGGTCTTTTTCCTTCTATGAGCAGTTGGAATGTTCTAATGTTGTGTATATACACATTTATATATAATCTAGTTGTATATATTACCATTTTACATAATGTTTATGATATGAGATACAGTTTAAAATTACATGATATACTTCTAACAAATGGTGTGGCCCTTTAATGTAATTCTATACATATTTATTATGTTTGATTAAATGGTATATCACTGTGTTTCCCTATTAACCTGTCATGTGAAATTTTAATGTCATTTTGGCTAATGTCTTATCTACATTCATGCTAAACAACTTCAAACGATCTTCTAGACACTCATAATCTTGCGAGCAAGATTACTGCCTCCTGCTCTATCCGTTGAAAATCTCGGGTTGCTATAAACAAAAAAAGTCTAACACACATTACTCCCAAATTATATGATCAATGATCCATCTAAAATTTGGGATATCTGTCTACATGTCTGGGATATTGTTGCATATAGAGAACTGGATTCAGCCATCCTATTCACTAAATCTTGTTCCGTTCCCCTCATATATGTTTTCCATTTGTGCAGATCTCATGGTGGCTTGCTCCTGTCTGTATCAGTGGAAAAACTGGCTGCATCCAACCTGGACATTTTTCAAAACCAATACTCGTGTGTGTGTGTGTCTCTCAGATGGGCAGGTGCATTCCCAGCCAGATCTAGACATTTTGGGACTTTTATTTTACACATTATAACCAGAGGTCATTTCGAGGGGGAACGCGGGGGAACACAGTTCCCCCGGGTGAGGTACAGGGGGCGGGGCACATGACGAAGCCCCACCCCCTGCTTCCGGCCGCCCCGCTTCCGGCCCTCATTCAGCCAGGAGGAGGCAGGAGAAGAGGGGAGGGTAAGTTGCTTCCTCCCCGCCTCTCCCCACCCCTGCCTGCCTGGGGCCAGGGAGGGCCTTGGCGGGGCTTCCTTGCACTCCCGCCGGCCTTGCAGGTCCACCGCCGGGCCCCTGATGTCAGGGGGTGTGGCATATGCTAATGAGTTATGCTAATGAGTTCCCCTAGCTCTTTTTCTACGAAATGACCCCTGATTATAACATGACATCATGGAGAATAAGTTGCTCTTGAATACGTTGACAAAAGATGGAAATCAAGAGGAAAACAATATATCCCATTGCTGAGAACAATTTGTCCTTACTAATGTTTCCATCAGTGTTAGGTAGTTTTAAGAATTTCTGCTGTGGAATGTACAGCTTTTCAATGGGGTGTAATTCAGTGACCTGACCTGTTGCATAAATATTTTCACTACATTCTGTAAATAATTTTTAAAAAACAAGTACATTGAAAACAAGCAGAAAAATGATCCAGTATTTTAAGTCATGCATACAGTTGGCTGGATCAGGTTTTCTCAGTGGTCACAGCAATAAGGACTGCCTGAAGATCCAGTAGGTACAAATGTACCCTCACCTACAACTACTGTTTTATGATACTTAAGCTGATTCAGCAATTTGGAAAGAAAATGTGCTGCTTGAAATTACTCATTTCTTTTTTTTCTTTCAAAGATTTAATCACAGTGCTGGGTGTAGCCTAGTGTGCAGATTTACTTAGATGCAACAAATGCCGACCTGTAAAACCAGTCCATCCACACTGTCCTGCTGTTTCCCCTGTATACTATGGCACACATTTGATCAATTTTATTGTTGTGCAGTTCTCTTTGATGGACAATATTTCTTCCTTGATGTATGAGTTATTCAGGTATGCAGCAGCTACTGATGACATTCAAGACACGTGAAGCAGTAAACCCCATATTCTTACAGTGAACTGCACTCATGGTTTCCTATTTCCAGCACTAGAGTGAACAAGAGATACTGTGCCCTGGGCTGTAGAAGTAAGTGAAACTTACTGAAATCTCTTTCACATTTTAAACCCAAATTACTACTGTGTGCAGGGGAGTGCTGGTCTTTTGGACTTACCCGTGCCACCTATTTTGCCTGAGGTTGAGTATGCCATATTGCAAATCCAGCATTCTATACATTTGCAAGCACCACCTACAAACTAACAGTTGTGAATGCTGATGTATTCAAATTACATAAACATTTTAATTTGGTTCCCCTTGCAAAAATCTATTGCAAACCGATGGATGGATGTATATCAAGAATAGGCAGTCTCATCACTTTCAGAATAGTTCCACTAATTAACCTCAATTATTGTATTTATCTGAACATTTTTATGTCACCTTGCACCTGATCAAGGTCTGCAAGGTGGCAAACATGAACACATTTGAACAATTAAAAACATCATCAAAAACAAAAACAATAAAAACAGAAACATATATCAGAACCATGGAGGAAGGCCAATAACTGTTGTCAGGGGTACATTGAATGAAACAAAAAGGTCTTTACCCTAACTGGTGGAAGACAGCAAGAGAGGGAGACAAATATTCTGGGGAGGGAGTTCCAAAGTTTTGGTGCCACAACTGAAAAAGTCCTTTTTCAGGCTGCCACCAGTTTAGCCTCACATGGCAGGGGCAACTGAAGCAGGACTGCTGAAGATGACCAGAGTAAACAGGTAGGTTTATATGGGAGAAGGTGGTCCTTAAGGTAGGTTGGTCCTAAACCATACAGAACTTTAAAGGTCAGTGTGAGTGATATGGTCCCTATGATCCATTCCAGTCAACACGGTCTGCAGCTGTAACTTCTGGACAGTCTTCAAAGGCAGCCCCACGTACAGCACATTGCAGTAATCTGAATGTTACTAGGGCATGTACTACAGTGGCATGATCCTTCCTGCCCAGGAAGAAGAAGAAGAGATTGGACTTATACCCTACCCTTCACTTGGAGTCTCAGAGCGGCTTACAAACTCCTTTCCCTTCCTCTCCCCACAACAAACACCCTGTGAGGTAGGTGGGGCTGAGAGAACTCTGACACAAACTGCTCTTTCAGGAACAGCTGTGCCAGAGCTTGTGACTGACCCAAGGAAGGGCCACAGCTGCCTCACCAACCAAAAGTAATGAAAGGCACCACTGGCCACCACTGCCGCCTGTTTACCTAATGAGGCCTGGGCCCAGGAGCACTCCCAAGCTGTGAATCTGCTCCTTTAGGGGGAGTGTAACCTCATCCACAATAGGAGATAACCCATTTCCTGGGCCAGACCTTTCCCCCTCCAATAGCAATTCTGTTTGGTTGTGATTAAGTTTCAGCTTGTTAGCCTTCATCCAATCCAAAACTACCTCCAGGCACTAGTTCGTGGTTTCCAAAGCCTCCCTGGGATGTGCTGGTAAGCATGAGATAGCGCTGAATGCCATCTGCATATTGATGACAACTCAGTAAAATCTCTGGATGACCTCTTCCAGTATTTTTTACACAGACATAGAAAAGCATGGGGGACAAGCAATCATAAAAGTGGGCTGAAAAGCAAACCATCTCCTCGTGTCAGCCACAACCCAATAGAGCCCTGACCACTCAGAAGAGTTCTGAAGGTATACAGCATGCAGATGAAATGGTGGCCGAGAAATGCTTTTTTTTGCCACCATCGCTACAGCAGAGGCCCCGGTCACACGAAAGGTTTTGGGCCAGAAGAGGGACAGATCAGGGGCGCAGCAAACGGGCGTGATCTCACCGCAATATCTGGGAAGCGGTGCGCACCCATCCCCGATCCGGCCCTTCCGGCTGAAAATCCGCTGTTAAAAAACCTTACCTCCCGAGCAGGACTTACCAGAGACGCCACAGCAAGCGCAGCCATCGGATCGCCCAATCGTCCGTCTTCTGGAGCAATTGAGGCTCCCAGCCGAACTGCGCATGCGCATGCTTCCTCCCTGGCATCTGATCGTGCCGGGGAGCAACGGTGCAGCGGCTCAGGGGATCAATATGATCCCGCCGCCGCGTGTTTCTTTTGGTGCGGCTCTGAATAGCCACACTTTGCTTGTGTTTTTTTCTGCCGTGTGGCAGGGACCAGACTTTATAATGAGCCATAGCCCATGCCTTGTAGGATTTGTCCTGAGTCTTTCTCAGCTGTTGCTCTAGTAATCTCCCTTGTCTTTTAATCATCAACAGCCCCGCAGGAAACCAAGGGGCTGCCTGGGCTCTTAGACCTAAGAGAGGGTGCCAAGGTACAATTGGGTCTTTTGACTGGGTCATTTCCCCAATCCAGAAGTCAACCAAGGCACAGACAACAGCACAAAACATAACAGCTGGAAAATTCCCTAATGCTTTCTGAAAACCAGGCAGCAAAGGCAAGTCATCTTAATCCCTCATCCCTGCAGTCTTGGTACCCTTTTAAGTCTAAACACCAGCAAGGAGTGATCCTCTTCAATCCTCCCACCTTCAGATCACCTTCCTCCTGACCAAAGCAGAATGCCATATCAAGAGTATGACCTGCATATACTGTGGGGCCTGCTATTACCTGAAACAGGTTCATGGTTGTTGTAGAGACCATGAAATCTTGAGTTGCTCCTGACACGGCAGCCTCAGCATGGATGTCAGAGTCCCACAAGGCAAGCAGGCTAGGAATCCACAAAACGTGCAAGACCACCTCCACAATTTCAGGCAGGAAGACTGTTGGGCAGCAGGGTGGGTGATACACCAACAAAATCCAAATCCTGTCTCACATTCCCACCACAAGATACACACTCTCAAACTAGGCAAGAGTCCCAAACAGGACATTGAGCCAATAAAATCAAGTCCCGATAAGACACCACCTGTCCCCATAAACTGACCATTTGCTCGTGAATATGGCTCATGCTAGGCAGTACAAACCTGTCCCAAGCAGAGAAGTACGGGGGGGGGGGGGAGAGCATGCATGCATCTTTTCCCTATTTTACCCTGCATTAACAGCAGCCACTGAAAATCCATCTTCTTGATCTGATGCTAAAAGCATGAGGGAACTCTCTATAACCCTGCATTCTAGTACCTATGCCTCAGTTTGATTTGTGTTGAGAGTGGCTTATAAGATAGCACTTGTGTCCCAAATTAAGAAAAAGTATTAAGACATCCAGTTTTTAGACTTTAAGTCTGATGTTTAACTATGTGTATTCCAAGTTTCAGCTGTCATGCAAATCTCTACTCGCTTTAGAGAGATCTAAGTGTCTTCTGCATTCTAGCAAGAGAGCACTAATATACATTCTGATCATATATTAATCACTGTTGCTAAAAATCACTATTTCCTAATATCACTGATTTCAGGAGGGTGAATGAAAACCAGTACTAGCACAATTCAAAATTCAGGCCAACATGTATGGTGGGTTTTTTTTTAATGAAATTAGCTTCTGAATGTAGACTTGATATGATTGCCATGAACTAAATCTGAGCAGAGTTCAGATGTGCAATGGAACAGTACTGGAACTCCCACCTTATAACAGCAACTGGCCTCAAATTGGTGAGAAGATGTGAGGAATCTTGGGCAACAGGACATATCCACAGTTCCCAAATACAGGCTGGAGTTTATGGAATATAAAGAACTCAAACCCATCATCCTTCTCCAGTACATATACCTGTGAGGTATAAGACTGACTACTCAAGATGGGAAGATGGACAGTAACTAACAAGGATAGCCTTGTAGCTACACTCTATTGACTCATCCTTGGCCTGTGCTAATAAAATCTATTCTACACTGACTGACTCTGCAGGGTAGGCTAAAAGGCTTTTGCACTCTAATTGATATCATTTAGGCAACACCAGTAATTTATGGAATGCGGGCTCTTATAAGCAAAAACTATGTTCTACCCATGTATCATGCCATGCTGTGGCCTCAGACCAGGGACCTGCTGTGTTGGCCCTCACAGGCTCCTATTAGGCCACTTTCACTACATTCAGTGACTGACATGGTGTTTTTAATGCTTAGACCTGACCCCCACCATTAGACCCTTAGTGCCCTCCCACTATGAATAGTCCTTTCCCCTACTCGAGTTTCGTGCCCTTGAGGCACCCTTCCTCCCACAACTCCCTTGGCCTCCTTGCTGCTGCTGTAGTGCCTCACTCCCCTGGTCCCCCCTACTGGACATTTACATCACCCAACCACGATAACAGAATATAAAGATCAAAATACAAAAAACAACCCCCATGCAATGAGTGTGCTCAAAGGACTTTGGGATTCTTTCCTGAATAACAGACTCCTATGCCCTATCATGAGGCGGGATGGGAATTAGTTACACTGGAGTAAAATTTGCAAAGCTATATCTGATGTGCAGATTCTGCTGTTTCAATTAAAAACTTAGGAATGTGGAACCCCTTGAGCCTGCCTATAAGTAGCTTTTCAGAATGTGATCAGCCCCCCCCCTTCCCAAGTTCTGAGGATTTGACACCTGGAAGATGACTCATTTTCTCAGGTTCTAAATGTAAGCAGTCACACAGTTTTACTTATTTACTGTATTTAACAAACTAATATTTCTATAGGATATTTAGAATGTAACAGAATGAAAGTTAATATGGCAAAATGTTTTGAAAATGCAGCCATTTATGCTATAATGCATAATTTCATATTGATCCATCCTATCGTGACCTTTAGCAATGCAAGACACTTACACATCATTGTGTGCATAACTGAATAATAGTTTGGGAAACTGAATCCCACTGGAACTAAAGGTAATATTAAAACAGTAAGGAAGTTTTGAATATAAGACTGTAGAGGCAATCTTGAAAGACCAAAATCAAAGCAAAAAGCCTTCTTCCATTTGACCCCAAGATAGTTATTTTCTGCATACTGCTAAAAAACCCTTTTTCCAACTGGTAATCCCCACTACTGTCCAAGGGGGGGGGGGAGAGACTCATGAGATCACAACTAGAACTAAAAATGGCAAATAAAATGTTTAATTTCAGAAACTCAGTTCACCATTTATATACTAAAACATAGTAAATGCAAAAAAAATTAGGCAGAGGTACAGTATTTTAACAAAACTACATCTTTCCTAAAGGTCATAGGCAACTCCCATTTCCCCGAAGAATTTCATCAATGCACAGAAACGGGAAGAGGAACCTTGAATATTTAAAAACAAAAACAAAAAAACCCCCAAAGCATATTGTTTATAATTAAAATGCTGGCTATTCTTAAACCTTGGTTCGAGGCTTAGGGGGTTCTACAATATTTTATTTGCCTGATCAACAGTGCCAATTATAGGTCAATTCTAGCAAATCACATTCTAAGCAGGGGACTGTTCTATAAGGGATATTTGATGAGAATCAGACTGTCAGCTTTTTGAAACAGGAACTTTAAACAGAGGACATCACACATAATTTTCCGTTCCAAGGACAACCAGGACTTTGTTTTTACACCAAGGAGTAGTACTGGATGTTTGGATGTACTCTGTTTTAAAAGAATATAGCATAATGCTAACTCTTTGTATTTCTTTCAAATACAATGTATTAAATAAACAACTGGAAACAAAACTGAAAATAAACTCCCCCCAAACCTTATAAATACTCAAGCTCTAATTCAGTTACAGTGTAAAAAAACTGAAGAGCAACCACTGAATGGCAAGATTATAGGTTACTGATAACTGATCTTCCATAATACCTCTAACTTTATTCCAATACTAACTCAATAGCCACCTTTAGTACATACATCATACTTGAATATTCTCATAATTCTTTAAGTACATTAGACCTGCATTTAAAACCTGCTATGTAAAAAGATGGCTTCAACTCCACCTTTTATGTACAGCTTTCTTCTGACAGCTAGAAAATGTGGGGGTTTTTCCATTGTAATTAAAGCAATATTAAACTAATATACAGTACCTAGGGTTTCTCATCATCTGAGGTAGCACTTAATATTTCTAGCTCCCTGATTAAGTCCTGTTTATACTGTTCAGCCTCCTCTTCTGTGAATAATGAGGCCTTGTAACGAGGGTCCAAAAGAGTAGCAAAAATGTACCTTGGATCGTGAAGCGTAGAAGACAATCTACTCACCATAGCTTCTTTTAAAGACTTCAGCATGGTATCTATACCCATTGTTTCCTCAAACAGTAGTTCAATTTTCCTGTTGAGTATGTGAATCATTGGAATTACTTGTCTTAAAGTGGACATTTGTGTGCTCATCTCTCTGCTTGCAACTTCAAATGGCTTGACAGCATGACTGACAGACTGCATCACTTCCTACTGATCAGTTTATTAATTCCCTGAAGCTGCACTCTATGGACATTTCGTCAATTGCTCTTTTCTGTTCAATGAGGCTTTCAAGCATATGGAACGATGTATTCCACTTTGATGGAACATCTTGAATTAACTGATGCTGGGGCAAGTGATACTCTTTCTGCAGCTCTGCCAGTTTCTCTCTTGCTTTTGCTGACCGATGAACACGTTCACAAATCTTTCTTGCAATACTAAGCAAGTTTTGAACCATTCTCTGGCTTTTAATAGCTTCATTATGTGGTTAACTATGTGACCAAAACACTGCACACTTGAATGATCCTCTTCATTTAAAGTTTTTCCTATAGTCTAATTATCTGTTACAGTAGTCCCAATCTGAAGCCTGATTAATGTTATCCAAGCTTCCCACCAATATTCTAGTTGCTTCTAAATGCTGATACCACCATAGTCACGATCTGTGACACATGTAACAGAGCTGAAAAATGGTAATTATTGTGGTCGAACCCTGGACTCAAATGTTACCAAATGAGCAGTAAGGGTTAGATATTCTCGGGTTTGGTTACTCATCCATATTCCAGACGTAAAATGAACTGCTCCACTTTCAGCTTCTTTAAAATGTGAAACAGTTATTTGTTTCACACTTTCATACATATCAGGAATTGCAGTCCTAGAAAAATAAGATGGTGAAGGCAAAGAATACTGAGGCTGCAAGTATTCATAAGAACATAAGAACATAAGAGACGCCAATGTTGGATCAGGCCAAAGGCCCATCCAGTCCAACACTCTGTGTCACACAGTGGCCAGAAATACCAGTGCCATCAGGAGGTCCAGCAGTGGGGCCAGGACATTAGAAGCCCTCCCACTGTTGACCCCCCCCAAGCACCAAGAACACAGAGCATCACTTGCCCCAGAGCCCCTAGCTATACCTTGTGGCTAATAGCCACTGATGGACCTCTGCTCCATATGCTTATCTAATTCCCTTTTGAAGCCGTCCATGCTTGTAGCACCCACCACTTCCTGTGGCAGTGAATTCCATGTGTTAATCACTCTTTGGGTGAAGAAGTACTTCCTTTTATCCGTTCTAACCCGACCGCTCAGCAATTTCATGGAGTGCCCACGGGTTCTTGTATTGTGAGAAAGGGAGAAAAGTACCTCTTTCTTTACCTGCTCTTTCCCATGCATAATCTTATAAACCTCGATCATGTCACCCCTCAGTCGTCTTTTCTCCAAGCTAAAGAGCCCTAAGCGCTTTAACCTTTCCTCATAGGGAAAGTGTTCCAACCCTTTTATCATTCGAGTTGCCCTTTTCTGCACTTTTTCCAAAGCTATAATATCCTTTTTAAGGTGTGGTGACCAGAATTGCACACAGTATTCCAAATGAGGTCTCACCATTGATTTATATAGGGGCATTATTATATTGGCTGATCTGTTTTCAATACCCTTCCTAATAATCCCCAGCATAACATTGGCTTTTTTTATTGCAGTCACACACTGTCTCGACATTTTCAGTGAGTTATCTACTACAACTCCAAGATCTCTCTCTTGCTCAGTCTCTGCCAGTTCAGACCCCATCAATGTGTATTTATATTTAGGATTTTTGGCTCCAATGTGCATCACCTTGCACTTGGCCACATTGAACCCCATTTGCCATGTTGACGCCCACTCGCCCATCCTTGACAGATCCCTTTGGAGTGCCTCACAATCCTCACTGGTTTTCACCACCCTGAACAACTTTGTGTCATCTGCAAATTTAGCCACTTCACTCCTTACTCCCATCTCCAAATCATTAATGAACAAGTTAAAAAGCAGTGGACCAAGTACTGATCCCTGCGTACTTGGCAAGCAGTCAATTAAAGCCAATATTGTCTATAAAAGAATATGGCTGAAGGTCAAGTGCGATTATTTCAGCTACAAGACTTGTGATTTTTTGGCAACAGGGTGAGGGTAAGAAAACTTATCAGTGGCTTCATCAAAAGATGAAGTCCCCAACAAATCCGTGCTCAGTGGCACACGGCTATTTGTAGATGAGGACAATACTGGCTCTGAGGCATCTGGTTTCAGGACATTGTTATGAAACCGTTGTAAATGTCTTAGAAGGCAACTGGTACCTAGATTGGTTGGCTTTTTCCCCCGACTTATTGTACGTCCACAGTGCATACATATTACTTTAGTTGAATCTGCAGAACAAATTGAAAAATGATTCCACAGTTTTGAGGGGGTTTTGTTACTAAGAGGAAAAATGACTTGACTATCATTAGTAACCATTGTGGGTAATTAAGTCAGTTTTGAAGACAAACATTCTGCAGAAGCCAGAATCACATAAGGCGAATTTGCTAAACTCACATCCATAAAATTCTTCTGGATACCAATGAGTTCAGGATGGTGTCTATATAATTGTCTCATCAGTTTGTGCCCACATCACCTTTCCTTCCATGATTTATTATACAATTGCAGTGTCTACATATTTATTTATTTTATACATCACTTTTAGACTATTCCCAGGAGACAAAGAAAAATGATGTCACACTTCCGACTTAAGTTTCCGCATCATTCGTTTATTCTGATGAAAAACAGCACCATGTTCAAATATTAAAGGGCTTTTTTCAGGGGAAGAAACTAAGGAAGCCTCACCTATATCATCACATGACAATAATGACGAGTCTTCTATGAGAGCATCTCCCAAAGGTAGATGTGAATTGTTTTCTTCAATCATTCTATCTGGAGAAGAACAAACAGATGCTGGTTCTTTAGCCAGTTTTCCAGGGGATGACACACAACTCAGATCACCATCTGAAGGCAATAAAGGTGGCAGCAGAGTTGGAGGAGCCGTGTACAGCGAGGGAATGCTCGAACCACCTCCATTCTCTTGTAGAACGTTGGACTCTTCACACGTGCCGTATTAAGCAACTAGTTCCAAGGTCTTTACCATTCTTTCCTCTACTGAATTCATTCATGCAGTGGATGCAAACGGCCTTTGAGTTATCTAAAGGAGACAAATAAAAATGTTTCCAGACTGCAGATCTTCTCCTAGAGCCAGATGAACTCTTAGGAACGTAAACAGTTTTCTCTGCTACGTTCTCCACTGTTTCTTCACACTGGCTGTTAGGAAACTGTTGAGATGACACAACAAAAATTTCTTCTTTATTGCTCTTTTCAGTAAGTGACAGATCTGAGGGCATGTCTTCAGTAGAAATTACAGGAAAAGACTCCTCAGTTATTTGATCTGGTGATGGGGTTTTGGAAACTGTTTTCTTAACCAATTTTATAGGAGCTAACACGCCGGTTAGATATCCAACATCTGCAGACTGAGGTGGCAGTAACAATCAAGGAGAAGGAAAGGAAGAAATTGTTGACATACCTCCATTTTCTTGAATGAGTACAGTAGGATGAGCTCTCCTCACATGCCTCATGAGACAACTTGTACTTAAGTCTTTTTCATTTTACCCCTGCTTAAACCCTTTCATACAGTACATGTCAAAGAGTTACCGTCAATTTGGGGAGAATTTGCCCTACTTGTATCCATGGTTGACTTCCGTTATTTCTGCTGTGTCTTCATACCTTAAGTGAAGAACTGTGGTTAAATTCTAACAACTAATGCAAAAAAAAAAAAAAAAGATGGTGGGAACATAAGTTTGTATTTTCTAATTTGCTGTTTGAGAAGAAATGTTTTAATGCCAATTTATGGGAAATTTATTTGGTTTAATGCACAACATCTCATTTTTTCCTCCAGGATTTGGAGTTTCCAAGTCATAAATTAGTTTTGATTTGGGCTGGTATTAAATGCTTCTTATTGTGGGGAGCAGCCTTGGGTTCTTTCCCAATAAAATCATGTATTCTATTACAGTCTGTTCACATCATCTAGAAAGAAAAAAGAAAATATGTAAGCATATTCAAGTGAGCTTTCCTTTCTGAACCAAATGATTATATTTTCTTCCATGTTTAGCCTTTAAATATAGCTATTCTTGTAAATCAACTTAAGCGCAAGACTACGTAACTTTAGAAAAATGTAATAGTGCTTTGAAATTACTTTTTTATATATTATATTTTATAGACATAACTGCACAATTCGTAATGACCAAAATCCAAAAAGCTACTTCAGGTACTCAAAAGCTTAGATATACCCAGTGGGCGTATTATATATAAAAACTGGATTTAGTGTGACATCTCATAAATTCTTGTCAAAAGCTCTCTATTTTAAAAACAACTTGCCATGCAACATGGACAGTGGCTATTTTGAGAAACACAAGCCAAAGTCCTGTTGGTTGCACAGTATTATGCTGTTCTTTGAACTCAAGCCATTGTTTGTAATCCAGTTAACACAGGTCACAGCAACAGTGGTGGATCTGCACTCAACAGGTCTCTAGACCCCCAAATTCTGCTGGTTTACCATCTTTTTGCCCACACAACACCCTTAAAACATTTTATGATTCAGTTGGTTTAAAATATAAAATTAATTTATGGTGCTTCACATGAGCAGTACTCGTGAAAGATATATTTCAGAAGTAACTTGAAAATTGCCATGCAACAACAAAATATTATATTTGCTGAAGACAGGAAAATAGAGCAAAGATAATCCACATTTTCATTGAATAAAATCTGAAAAGCGTTACAGACACCAGAACATTGTTAATGACGTTTTGCTTTTATCATAAATGGGGTTGGATCCAATCAGCTTTTTTGCTCCATGTCCCAGTTTTCCTATTTCACCCTCAGAACAGTATGGGGGACAGAATAGGCTGTTCCCCGGCCCACACCCTGGTTCTGGCACCAGGAGCTTCCAAGTCAGGTGCCAGCAATCCTATTCTACTGCCTCTGTAGGATGGGGAGCTCTTAGTTCCTTATTCTTAACTCCTCCTCCCCCCCCCAGCCCAGTTTCTTAAAATGCCCCTTCTCTTTACCAGAGAGTTGACAATTTTTTGCAGTTAAAGCTTTTCGTGGCATGACGTGAAACAACATGAAGTTAAACAATATTCGTGGCATGAAGTGAAAGATGAGATCCGGCAGAAATCAAAGGGACAGCTAGAGGGGCCGTTTAAAAGCCTTGGCAAGGACTGGCTCCCAAACCGGACAGTCCTGGTGATGGCCTAATGTCCAATAGGCACAGTGAAACAGGGTAAGTTCGACTTGACATTCACAGCATCCCTAGTTACATCTGGTGAACTGGGGGGATGGGGGTGGCCATTAAGTCCACCACGAATAGTCCCAGTGGGCTGATGACATTGGAGCTACTCTGTCCTGCCTGAGGAAGGATGTACTTGACCCTGCCAAGCAAAATCCCATGCAGCATTTCCAAGCCCAAGCCCTGTGTGGAAACGAGGCACCTGACCAAACCTGGCACAGAGCTAAGTAGGTGAGCTCTTTCTCCCTCTGTCTCCATTTAGGGGTGAGGTATGGCCCCTAGGGGTAGCAGATGTGGTCTGAGGGTGGAATGACAGGCCCCAGAGTGGAATGACAGTCCCTGGGGGTAGCAGGAGTGTTCTCGGACTGGAATGCCAGGCCCCAATGTGGATGATTGACAGACCTTGGAGTAGCAGGAGTGTCCTGGGACTGGAATGACAGACAGGCCTCAGTCCCAGAACACTCCTGCTACCCCAGGGGCTGTCATTCCACTCTGGGGCTTGTCATTCTAGTCCCAGAACACTCCTGCTCCCGCCAAGAGCTTTCATTCGTCTCTGGGGCATGTCATCCCAGGCCCAGAACACTCCTGTTACCCCCAGGGGCTTTCATTCCACTGTGGGGCCTGTCATTCCAGATTGGCACCTTAGAGACCAACAAGGTTTTATGCTAGGTGTGAGCTTTTGTGTACAAACACACTTCTTCCAATACAGTGAAACAGAATTTCCTCAACCCTAACATATAGGAAGACAATAGAACAGCTTTAGAGTTCAGATTGGCACCTTAGAGACCAACAAGGTTTTATGCTAGGTGTGAGCTTTTGTGTACAAACACACTTCTTCCAATACAGTGAAACAGAATTTCCTCAACCCTAACATATAGGAAGACAATAGAACAGCTTTAGAGTTCAGATTGGCACCTTAGAGACCAACAAGGTTTTATGCTAGGTGTGAGCTTTTGTGTACAAACACACTTCTTCCAATACAGTGAAACAGAATTTCCTCAACCCTAACATATAGGAAGACAATAGAACAGCTTTAGAGTTCAGATTGGCACCTTAGAGACCAACAAGGTTTTATGCTAGGTGTGAGCTTTTGTGTACAAACACACTTCTTCCAATACAGTGAAACAGAATTTCCTCAACCCTAACATATAGGAAGACAATAGAACAGCTTTAGAGTTCAGATTGGCACCTTAGAGACCAACAAGGTTTTATGCTAGGTGTGAGCTTTTGTGTACAAACACACTTCTTCCAATACAGTGAAACAGAATTTCCTCAACCCTAACATATAGGAAGACAATAGAACAGCTTTAGAGTTCAGATTGGCACCTTAGAGACCAACAAGGTTTTATGCTAGGTGTGAGCTTTTGTGTACAAACACACTTCTTCCAATACAGTGAAACAGAATTTCCTCAACCCTAACATATAGGAAGACAATAGAACAGCTTTAGAGTTCAGATTGGCACCTTAGAGACCAACAAGGTTTTATGCTAGGTGTGAGCTTTTGTGTACAAACACACTTCTTCCAATACAGTGAAACAGAATTTCCTCAGCCATTACATATAGGAAGACAGTAGAACAACTTTAGAGTCCAGAGTGGCACCTTTAAGACCAACAGAGTGTTATGCAAGGTGTGAGCTTTTGTGTAAAAACACACTACTTCCAGTAGAGGTAAACAGAATTCCCTCAGCCGTAACATAAAGAAGAAGAGATTGGATTTATACCCCGCCCTTCACTACCCAAGGGAGTTTCAGAGCGGCTTACAAACTCCTTTCCCTTCCCCTCCCCTTCCCACAACGGACACCCTGCGAGGTGGGTGGGGCTGAGAGAATTCTGACAGAGACTGCTCTTTTTCAAGGACAGCTGTGCCAGAGCTTGTGACTGACCCAAGGTCACATCAGCAGGTGCAAGTGGAGGAGTGGGGAATCAAACCCGGTTCTCCCAGATTAGAGTCTGCACACTTAACCACTACAGCAATCAGAATTCCCTCAGCTATTACATATAGGAAGAAAGTAGAACAGTTTTGGAGTCCAGAGCCGCAAGGTGTGAACTTTTGTGTACAAACACAATTCTTCCGAGCTCAGAGATAGCCGGCGGAGCCGGGAGGGGGCGGGGAGGTTTTTTTTTGGGGGGGGACGCGGGCGCGTGTCTGCGCCACCTGGCATATCTCTTTAAGGATCCCCTCCCCGGCCCCGCTGGAGGCAAAACCACTCCTCACGCCCTCCGGAGCTGAGGGACAGTGGTGGAGCCGGGAGGGGGCGGGGAAGTTTTTTTTGGGGGGACGCGGGTGGCGCACTGTGCCACCGGCCATATCTCTTTAAGGATCCCTTCCCCGGCCCCGCTGGAGGCAAAGCCACTCCTCGCGCCTCGTCTCCCATATCCCGCCCTCTGGAGCTGCGGGACAGCCGGTGGAGCCGGGAGGGGGCGGGGGAAGTTTTCGCGGGGGGAGGGGTGCGGGGGGCGCCTCGGCACCACCGGGCATATCTCTTTAAGGATCCCCTCTCCAGCCCCGCTGGAGGCAAAACCACTCCTCGAGCCTCACGGCTAGGCTGCTGGGAGACGAGGAGCATCTCGTGGTCCGGAGCTAAGGGTCAGCCGGTGGAGCCGGGAGGGGGTGGGGATGATATTGGAGCTACTCTGTCCTGCCTGAGCAAGGATGTACTTGACCCTGCCAAGCAAAATCCCATGCAGCATTTTCAAGCCCTGTGTTGAAACAAGGTACCTGACCAAACCTGGCAGAGCTAAGTAGGTGAGCTCTTTCTTCCTCTGTCTCCACTTGGGGAGTGAGGTATGGCCTCTGGGGGTAGTAGATGTGTTCTGAGGGTGGAATGGCAGAGGGGTAGCAGGAGTGTCCTGGGACTGGAATGACAGACAGGCCTCAGTCCCAGAAGACTCCTGCTACCCCCAGGGGCTGTCATTCCACTCTGGGGCCTGTCATTCCAGTCCAAGAAGACTCCTGCTACCCCCAGGGGCTGTCATTCCACTCTGGGGCCTGTCATTCTAGTCCCAGAACACTCCTGTTCCCACCAAGAGCTTCCATTCGTCGCTGGGTCCTGTCATTCCAGTCACAGAACACTCCTGCTACCCCTAGGGGCTGTCATTCCACTCTGGGGCCTGTCATTTCATCCTCATAACCCATCTGCTACCTTTAGGGACTGTCATTCCACTGTGGGTCCTGTCATTCTACTCTCAGAACACATCTGCTTACCCCTAGGGGCTGTCATTCCACTGTGGGGCCTGTCATTCCAGTCCATGTCCAGTGTATTTGGGACCACTGACCTTAATGGAAATTCCATTCCGCATTTTCTTTGCAACTCTTCTTGAGCTGTAATGTATTGCAATGGAGTCCATGCAAGTCAACTGGCATTCCTGGCTCCCATTATTTCCAACAGGCCTTCAAGTCTCTCCCATTGTTTCCAATGGGCAATCCTGTCCTTCCTTTTAGTACATCCCCCTAATAATCTGGGTCTGGAGGCTCTCGGGGGAAAGTGGATTGTTTCTGCAGCCTGACCATACACATGTAATATGCCCCCCTGAATTTAAGGAGAGTATTAAATTTGGAAAGGGCCGCAACAGCAAGCATCGTCTCAAATTACAACTGAATTAACGTACGTACTGCATACGCACCGTCGACCACCACAGCCAAAACATGGAATAGGGAAGAGAGGACATCTGTATGAATCCCACCCCAACTTCAGGTTTACACGGAGGTCCCTCCGAGTTCAAGAGATTAAACATGTCTAACAGGCAATGGCACATCACCCCTGAACGTCCCTTGCCTCGAAAACCCTACGAGATAGCCATACGAGATAGGTGTTACTTGAAGGCAGTTTCCATCCCCAGGGTCCGAGGGTAATCCGGTTTTAAACGGAAACAGCGAGCGTGCCCAATGTCCACGCTGACTATCCGTTCCTTCTTCGGTAATGAATCCCCTAGAAGAAGCTACATCCGTTCATAATTGGGGACCTAAAACAACCGTTATCGCCAGGCCCTCCCTCTTTCCGTTCTTTCTCTAAGGAGGAAGGCGAGTAGCGAACTCCCTTCACGCGCTTCCTCGAACTTGACCGGCGTCGGCGTCTACTTAGCCGGCCCAGAGTAAGTGAGGCGTCGCGCACAGCGATTGGCCGGTGGGGCTGATGACGCCCGAAAAGGGAAGAGATGGGGAGGAAGCGTAGAGATCGTCCCGCCCTCTCAGCGCGCGGAGTCCTAGCTTGGCGTCGTCGTCGTCGTCGTCCGCGGGGCTGGGAGGTGCCTGGCGCCCACACGTCCTGCCCCTCCCCCCTCTCCTCCTGCGCGCTCCCTTCCTCCCCTCCCCCGCCGGCGCGAGCGCTGTGGTGAAGCCGCCGCATTGTTTGTGCCGAGGGGGGGAGGAGGGAAAAGATTCTCTCGGCCACGGGAGCTTCCGCGCCCAACCCGCAGCCGGACTGCGGCCCTTCGCGACGCGCGCCTCCTCCCGCCCCGAATGCGTCGCTGCTGCCGGAGCCAGCCACCAACGCCGCGGCCACCGCCGGGAACCGAAGGGGGGCCGCGACAGTGCGGGGCCCTCCTCCTCCCCTCCTTCCCCGTTCTCCATCCCCGTTCTGCCCACCACGAGCAGCGCGAGGAGCGAGTGCTGCCGCCATTAGCCCGGACCCAGCCCAGTGGTGTCTTCGAGCGAGAGGAGGGTCTGTCAGCCGCGTCCCGGCGGCTCCCTCAGGTGAGTGCAGAAGGAGGCGAAAGGGGGCGGTCGAGCGGGTTGGCTGAAGGGCTCTCTCCTGGGCCTTCGGCGGTGGCGCTGAGGCGCCTGTTGTGTTGGGCGGACGCCATGTTTGTGGCCCGAATATTGTCTCGGTGGGTGTGTGAGAGAAAGAGGACGGGGAAGGGGGGGGGGAGAGGAGAGAAAGAGGGTGCTTGTCTGTGGAAAAGGCTGCGAAGTGTTCTGGGCCTTGGCTGGAAGGAACCATTCGGTGAGAGGGGAGGCTGGGAAGGGAAGGAGCGCTCAGGGCCTGGGCAGGAACCATTGGTGTGGAGGCGGGGTGTGGGAGGGGAGAGGGGGCGTGCACTGAAGTTATCGAGCGACTGTGTTTATGTCACGGGGAGGCGGGGACCTGGCTGGGGGCGGGGGGGGGGGCGTTCTGTAAAGGTGCTTGGTGCCAATGAGAATTCATCTTGTTTGTGTCTTCCCATTGAATGTCCTTCTCGTTTTGTGCGTGTTTTGTCAGCTGACTTGGATTAATTTTGGGGGAAAGCGGGGAGGTTCGGTGACGTCAGGGAGGATGGGTTAGTTCCGGGAAATTCACTTTCACTTTTTACCATTGATCTGGTTCCTTTTCGAAAAGGGTTATAACTCTTTGCACGCATGCTTGGGAATTGCCCCTGTGGAAGCTGTTGGACTTGACTCTAAGTAAAGATGTATACGGTCATGTTCAGCATGTGTTCTTTGCTATTTCTTGGTCTTTGATCTCACCTATATAGCTTTGATAAAAGTAAGGATTTTATTTGCATAATATAGGAATGATGTAGATGCTGACAAATGTGTCTTATGACTCCCTTTTTTTGTTATACTTGTGGGAAGTGCTTATGTGACAAATCTTACTCTTCTGTAAGCATGACAAGCAGTACATTTTTAAATGGTTTGTTAACTCATTGGTTATTGAATGTTTTCAAGAAGACTGGATTTCTGAACTTGTAACATTTGTGTACAGTATCAGTAAGACTTTTTTTTAAAGAATTCATATATATATATGAATATATAATGATTCTGTGTGTTCCTTTATTTGCAGCAGCCCTAAGTATGATTATAAAAGATTTCCTGCTGGTCCACTTTCCAGAAAAAAATAATACTCATGTTAGATTCTTTTGCTTTGTTACACAAATATAACAAAGCTATAATTTCATTTTTAAACAGTGATTATTGAAGATAGAGTCAAGTGGGTAGCTGTGTTGGTCTGAAGCAGCGGAACAAAGTTTGAGTCCAGTGGCACCTTTAAGACCAACACATTTTTATTCAAGGTATAAGCTTTACTCAGATACAGTGAAATGGAAGTTACCAGTCCCTACACATAAGTAGAGGGTGGGTAGCAAATTGGCATACAGCATAATGAAGATATTTAGTAGATGCAAGGAACAAACAGGAATAACAAGCTTAGGTTAACATTTGTTTGGATTTAATTCTGGATGTAAACATAGTGAAGGAAATAAATATGTCAAAATTGGAGATTGATGAGTTGTATCCTTAATGGCAGGGTCTCAGTTAATTGCTCTGAGTATTCCATAGTTGATACATCTGATCATCAATCTCCAGTTTGTAGACCAGGTTTGAATTCCCCACTCTGCTAGGGAAGCTTGGGCTAGTCATGCGCTCTCAACCTTACTTCTTTCATAGGGTTGTTGTTGTAGTGAGGATAAAATTGAGATGAGAACAACATGAACTGCTTTAGGTCTCCATGAAGTACATAATTATATAATTTGTAGTTTGCCTTTTTCACTAAGAACTGACTTGTGAATTAGTTCACATATTCACATACACATTAAACATGCATGGTGCAAATGCTTATATGTTCCCTACCTGTGACTGGGGATATTATTTTCAAAATGTTGCCAATCAAGGGGAGGCAGTGTACACATGGTCAGTTCCTCTGCAAGTAGGCATAGTGTTCAGAAGCTGGCTTTCATGTCATGGGGATGGGGCCAAAATGTTTGTGCTTGCTCTTCCTACCTGTGTGGTCAGTCAGTGTAAGAAGAGGTTATGTGTACAGTGTGGTTCATGTGCTTGAATAAACACATGTGTTCATTCATATAAGAGTAAGCACCTTTACAATTCAGCCATACTTTTGGGGTGGTAGGCAGGGAGCATTCTTAAGATCCGCTAGTACATGGTCATTCTTAATCATTGTTCTCAGGGAACAGATTATTTCTTATGTTCAACATGGTTTATTTTATTTTTTCTTATTACTTAACTTAAGACCCCACTTTTCTTTCTGATACACACTAAAAGCAGCTCACAAAAACTCAGTTGAAATAAACAATTTAAACAGAATGCAAAAATGAAAATGCACAACCTGAAATCGGTGCAGGTTTTGAATTTACTGGCTAGGCCATTCAGTAGCCACAGGATAGAAACCATGGGCCAACAGCACTTTGGCTCATGCTAAAAACCTTGCACCTGTGTCTACACCCTGATATTATAACTGCAAACAGGAAGAAGGCAAACACCTGTGCTGTGCAACTGGCAAGGTGTTCCCCAGTCATTCTGCTCCCTCTGCCTGTGAGTAAAGGGAGCTTCAAAAGACAGAGGCAGAAAACCTTTGAATACCACTGCTAGATGGCAGTATCAAGGGAAGGCAAGACTAATGTGTAGTTATAGTCTGGAAAATGGTAGTGAGGAGGGTATAGTGGTTATATCTTTATTGTTGATCTTTTTAATTTTTGTTTCTCATGTATATTAAAATATTTTTATTTAGTTTGAAGTACCTCTGTATTGAGCCTGGTAGAGTAGAATGATAGGCTCATTGGTGGAGTTTGATTAATTGGAGCCTGGATCTGATGTCTTAAGAGAGTAACTCCCCCACCCCAGTCCTCTACTGAGGACTTGTCTAAGAAAATGTTCTGTGACGTGAGGGCTGCAGTAATGAGGGGGGATCGGAAGCCATGGGCCAACAGCAGCTCCTTCTTGTGCAAGCAGAAAGCCTCTAGAATCCAACACACTGCCCAAGGAGAAGGGAGAAAAGACAGTGGCATTTTTTTCCATGTTACCATTTTGCTCTTTCTTGTTCTTCCCCCTGTTGCTCTTTTAGTAGCATATTAGGTCTTTCACACCATCTGTCTGGGTCTTGAATCAAGGTCTTGTACTTGACTGTTTTAACTTGCAGTCAGCTTTGTTGCCTTGTTGCAAAGCAGAGCAATCTATAATTTCTTCACTAACAAGATGAGCCTGGATACACAAAACGGAAACAAACTAATGCCATTTCTTCTCAAGGATCACAGAGGCCCTATATTTCAGACAAAGTACTTTCTTCCTAGTGCTTTATTTTCCTGTGAACAAACTTCCAAGATTCATAAAACTAATACTAGAAGAAGAGTTGGTTTTATACTCCACTTTTCCCTACCCGAAGGAGTCTCAGCGTGGTTTATAATCTCCTTCCCTTCCTCTCCCCACAAAAGGCACCTGTGAGGTAGGTGGGGTTTAAAGAGCTCTGGGCTATGTGAAAATAATTATTCATACCTGAATGGTTCTGAGAGAGCTGCGTCTGATCCAAGGTCACTCAGCTGGCTTCATGGGCAGGAGTGGGGGATCAAACCTGGTTCTCCAGATTAGAGTCTGCCACTCTTACCCAATACACCAAACTGAATCGATGCCATTGACAGTACAATAATAGGTGAGATTTGTAATTATTGTGGTTTTTTCCCAAGTGGTTGTCTCTGTATGTGGGATTTTAATTATGATGTAACAGATTATTAGGAAGCCACATCCATGGCATATCATAGGATACTTTTTAAATTTTGTATGTACATCAAAATCAATGTACATCAAAATAAATAATGCTAAATTAGATCACACCCCTTCTGTTTAGAATACAGAAAACTGATTCATATTTTACAGAAAGCCCACATTATTGATCTCAAAAGCCTCAGTCTTCTCTTATTTCTAAGGATGTATTTACATAGCTGTCAGTCTCTGCTCTTCTCCTCTTGCCCTGGGCTTTAAGTGTTCTTTGACCTCAAGTGTTGCAGTTTTCCTACTATGAAAGCAGTCTCCCCAGGGGTCAGGTATATTAAGTATATAAAATAGCCAGTATGTTGTAGAATAGCCAGACAGCATATAGAAAAGACTACATTATTTCTAATCCATTATTAGGGCTGGTCAAGTTCTATGGCAGTAAATGAAATGTCTTAACATTTGTAACAGTTTTCATTGCTTGTGATATAAAACAAAAAGCTGAAATATGAACAGTCATTTAAATAGATCTCCCAAATTTGGCATCTACAGATCTAAGATTAAATCTATCCAGAATTTGTCTATAATAATAGCAGTGTATTTGGACACACATGTCTTTTTGATACGGAGAGAATAGAACCTAGCTTATTCTTCTTTCTGTCCTGTAGAGTTTAGGCAAGTAAAAATTATCTTATTATTGGGCTGTGTTTGCAGTGCAGTAAATTATTCATTGAAACCAGTGCCTTATGTTCAGTTTGTATTTTTGAGATCTGAGTTTGTGGTTACTTTTTATCATGTTTCTAGCCATTATGGTTTGAAACAGTAGTTATGGTGTTTGCTGGTGGAGGAAGCAGAAGAATCTCCACAGGTTCTCTCTCATGTTCTCCTAACAAATGCCAATGTCAATGACTCCTATTTCCCACAGAATGTGTTACCTGCTGCCATTCTGCTGCCATAATTTCATGGTGTGAAAAAAACAAATATATTATGAACCAAATTCATGTGAAATATAAACACAATTTTCATGGGTTACCCTGAAAAGCTGTTTCTGAAAATTAAGGTACTCTGCAGTTGGAAAGAAAATTAATTTCTTAATTAAATAAATAAAAATCGGCAGCCCTCGTTCCCTAAAAGAGGAATGCTAACTACTTGTCAGAATGTGTTTCAAAACATATATAGCAAAAACAATGGATGTGAAACAAATTAGAACACAGCATGCTTGGTGAGTCATTCATTATCATAGGAATATATACATAAGTATGTCATACTGCTTAAATACCGATTAACAAGTAGTGAAGTTAAATACATAATTATAAGTGCACCCTTAAACATTTTTATGGATAAACAGAGCTGAAGTTTTAACCCCTTCTGTCCAATAATGGCTATAACTTGCCTTATTTATGTTCTGTAAAGAAAGAGTAAGAATGATTGCTTATTCTATGGTTCAGATTTTTTCTGTCTGTTTCATATAGTAGGAGAAAAATAAGTTTAAATTTAGTGTTCTGTAGTATAAGACATAGGATATCTGTTTCCCTATTTCATTCTCTAATGAACATCATTTAAATGCAGTTACTTTATTTAACTTTAGGAAATGTGCATTATTCATGTAATATGTAGTGAGTGAATAATTAGAAAAACTACTGTTAAGCCATAAGAAATTGTGATGTTGAATTAATGTGTCATAAATTATAGAGTAATCCAGGAATAATTTAGGTTACTTCGTGTGAATAATTTGGATTTTGATATCATGATCTTTTTCCAGAGGATATCAGTGACAATGGTGCTATTACTACACTGTTTTGGTTTCAGAATTTTTTTCTTTATATCAGAGCACATACTTCTAAAATGACTTACAGGGTGGGTGGGTGGGTTTGGTGAGTATTTGTGTGTGTGCGCACGCACGCTTGTGAGCCTGGAAGTCATGGTGACTTCTGGTGACCCCTAGTGGGGCTAGGACGTTTCAGAGAGGTCACTTTTGATATTGTCTGCCTCCTGGCCCTGGTATTCCTTGGAGGTCATCCTTCTAAGTACTTGTCAGGGTCGGCCCGGTTTAGCTTCCAAGGTCTGATGAGATTGGGCTTGCCTGGGCTATCTAGGTCAGGATGAGTAACAGGGTTTTAAAAAAATTACAAAGGTGTGTGAAATTCTTAATGTGATCTTGGTGAAATGTTGTTTGATTTAAAATACCTTAAATGCATTTTAGAATGGATGGTAACAGCATTAAATGAGGGAGGGGAAGGGGAAAATTATATTTTTAACTAGTTTTTTAAAAAAATCTTCTACTTTAAAATAGAACTCCTTCTTACAATTATGGTTCTAATTTTAGATAATCAGTACCAAATGAGGAGGAAAGGAAGATGTCATCGAGTACCTTCAACACGGCACTCTTCTTCTCCCTGCAGTATTAAACACTCTCCTACCAGGGAAACCTTGACTTATGCCCAAGCTCAAAGAATGGTAGAAATAGAAATTGAAGGTCGATTGCACAGAATCAGTATCTTTGAACCCTTGGAGATTATATTAGAAGATGATCTTACAGCCCAAGAGTTGAGTGAATGCAACAGCAATAAAGAAAATAGTGAGAGACCACCAATATTTTTGAGAACCAAGCGACATAGAAACAACAAAATTAAAAAGAAAAATGAAGCTCTTCCAAGTGCACATGGCATTCCATCTACAGCAAGTATTCTTCCAGAACCGAAAGTGCACATTGTTGAGTACAGTCCACCTTCTGCTCCTCGAAGGCCTCCAACTTACTACAAATTCATTGAGAAGTCTTCAGAAGAACTTGATAATGAAGTGGAGTATGATATGGATGAAGAAGATTATGCATGGTTAGAAATAATTAACGAGAAGCGAAAGAGCGATGGAGTATCTGTTGTATCACAAAATATGTTTGAATTTCTTATGGACCGTTTTGAAAAAGAGTCTTACTGTGAGACTCAAAAACAGGGTGAACATCAGTCTTTAATTGATGAAGATGCAGTTTGTTGTATTTGCATGGATGGAGAGTGTCAGAATAGTAATGTAATTCTTTTTTGTGATATGTGTAACTTAGCAGTGCATCAGGAGTGTTACGGGGTGCCATATATACCTGAGGGCCAGTGGCTCTGCAGACAGTGTCTGCAGTCGCGTTCACGGCCTGTAGATTGTGTACTGTGCCCAAACAAAGGAGGTGCCTTTAAAAAGACTGATGATGATCGGTGGGGACATGTCGTGTGTGCTCTTTGGATTCCAGAAGTTGGATTTGCCAATACAGTTTTTATTGAGCCAATAGACGGAGTCAGGAACATTCCCCCTGCACGATGGAAGTTAACATGCTACCTCTGTAAACAGAAAGGTGTTGGTGCCTGTATTCAGTGCCACAAAGCAAACTGCTACACAGCATTCCATGTTACATGTGCTCAAAAAGCTGGTTTATATATGAAAATGGAACCAGTGAAAGAACTGACAGGCAGTGGCACAACTTTCTCAGTTAAAAAAACAGCATATTGCGATGTACATACACCACCAGGTTCTGTTCGGAGACCTCTGAATATTTATGGAGAAGCTGAACTGAAAAATGGTCTCTACAGAAAAGAGGGCTCAGCCAAAACAAGGTCTGCATCAAAAATCAAGAAAAAAGCAAAGAAGTCCAAGAAAGCAACAGCTGAACCCTGTACAGTTATGCCTGCAGTGTCTGCTCCATGTATCCCTCCTCAGAGGTAAGAAAAATAATTAAAGATAAATGCATTAGCCAAATTATTGTTGATATTTGTCAGCTTATTTCCTATGGAATAAGACTTAATATACTTATGGGGACTTTTCAAGAAAACAGATGTTAGATGGTCTGCTTTGTGCATCATGTTAAGAATACTTTCAGAATATTACACGCAGAACCTTTCTGGAGGAAAAAAAAAAGGAATGGCTTTCACAGTCTTAATTGTTGGTTCCACACATTGGTTAAAGTTTACCTTATTAAGTATCTCCAGTCAGAAATTGCTATCTTTCACAAAGTTCTTTGTTATGTGTTATTGGGGCTTCAGCTTGTGTAGGCAGGAGTTACTTGAATTACTATTAGATATCATGTGATCAGTTTACTTCAGAACTACTTATTCTGATGTGATGTTAAAAATTGCATCCATAAATGTGATCTCTGCTTCTGTTTCTTGAGATTAAGCATAAAAGCCCCACATGTATTTAAACTTCCCCCCATAAATTAACTTTAAAAAACCCGATTTAATTAGTCACTAGCAATGTTCCCTCTAAGCTGAGTTAGTGTGAGCTAGCTCGCAGTTTTTTAGCCTCTGGCTCACACATTTTTGTCTTAGCTCAGGAAGGATGGGGCTCCAGAGCAAACTGATTTATGCAGCAGCCAAATTACCTGCTCACAACCTTAATGCCAGTAGCTCACAAAGTAGAATTTTTGCTCACAGGACGCCACAGCTTAGAGGGAACATTGGTCACTAGCATGTCTCCTCTCAGATGCTCATTTTAGATGGACGTTGGTTTTCTAAAATGTAGCTATGTACACATTTAATTGCCAGATAAATTGGAAAATGGCCTTTGGATGCAGTACATATTATCATAGGACATACATTTTTAGTGGTGTCTAAATTTGAATAATGAGATTGGGTACTCATTCCTATGACTGTCTTATGTGCCAAAGCTGTTTATTATTCCCCAAGGTTGGAGGCAGGAACTTCTCTCTGAAGAGTTTACTCAGAGAGCTGCTAAATACAAACCAGAACTGCTCTAGTGTGTTATGTTCTCAAGATAATACACATGCTCGCTCGCGCGCACACACACACACACACACTGTGTTTGCTGCTCATCACCTTTCATTACTTCAGCTATACCTTTGCACATTGTTGAGTGGTAGTGTAATGTTTGCTGCACAGACAGGATTTGCTGCTACTACTCACAGTACCCAAACTCTAAATAACCACAGCTAGGTTTACCCTCCTTCCACTCATATACACACTCACATACACAATCCATTTTAGAATACATGATGACCAGGTCTATAGAATGTGTCAATTGGTTGCTAAACACAACTTTCAGATTGTGTTACAGTTATTTATTGTTTCCTGCTTCAGAATATTTCTCATAAATAAGAGTTCTGGATAATTTTGAAGTTATTTTTCCGTATCCAGCAATGCTATCTTCAAGAATGTAATATTTTGTCATATTGAAGTACTCTTTGAAATGCAATGAAAAATTCTAAGGACGGAATAGTAGACATTTCTTTATGACCCACTGAGAGAATAGATTCTTGGTCTAGAGTCCTTCCTGTCCTTTATTGTAGTTCTAAGCAGAACCAGTAACATTAAAATGTAGGGAGTCTTCTACTAAGACTCCAATCTTAAGTATTCTTATTAAGTAGCAAGTTTTGTGGAGTGACGTGTTTTGGATTCCCTTGTAAAACTGTGCTAACTTAAATTAAAATGTTCAGAGTTGGTTAAATATTTGGTTTATTTGAACTTTAGAAAGTTATCACAGTTTCAGTATTAATTTTTAAATAATGTATCATAATATTTTAGAACAGCTTTTATGCTGCAGAAAGAATGGGTAGCAAGAAGAGTCTGGTGATTGCTCAAAACGCTGTGTGCAGACCTTGAGATTCCACTTACTGGGTTAATCTTTTTGCTTAGATTAATAATGAAGGCTTAATACTAAGAGTGCAATCATGTCTTTAGCTCATTGATTTTAGTTGGCTTATACTAGAATAACTCTGTATATGATTGCACTGTTAGGTGTATTCTTAAACACTGTGTGTGGGGTCAAGCATGAATACTATTGCTTTACTCAGCTATAATCCCCCCCCCATCCCAAAATGTTTAGCTGTCTGGCCTAGGAACCTTCATTTCCCATCATCTCTAGTGGAATCCTTTTATTTTAATTAGTGTGCCATGATGGAAGCAAAGGCACAAGGGAACTATTGCTTAGATGAATTAAACACAGCTGCATAGATCTGAACAGTTCTGCTTCATCAGACTTGTAAATAGTCAATTTTCTGGCCTCCTGTATTAGTTAAAAATTATATCTAGGTGAACAAGTCAGGAAGCTGGAATTCTTTTGCAACTTGGAAGACAGTTCAATCGGTCTTTCAGAAAGCGTATTAGTAGGTGAGCTAGTAACTCTTGTAAACTTGTTTGCAAAATGGCACTGTGCATCTTAATAGCAAAATGTGTACCTCATTTTATGAGCTAAAGTATGCAATGGATATATCAAAGCAATAAATGTGTGCGTTAAGTGTCGTCAAGTCAGTTCTGGCTTATGGCGATGCTATGAATTAATGATCTCCAAAATGTCCTATTATTAATAGCCTTGCTTGGGTATTGCAAACTGAGGGCCACCACGGCTTCTTTTACAGAATCAATACATCTCCTCTTCCACTGCTCCCTTCAACTTTTCCTTGCATTTTTCCAGTTATTCTGCTCAAATGTGACCGAAGTAGGGATGGGCACAAACCAGGAAAATGAAGGTTTGTGGGGTCTAACAACATGAGTGAACTGTTAGAAGACATTTAAATGCCTTCTGAGCTCACTTGCATTGCACTGCCACAGAAGCATGACTCACAAGTCAACTCAAAAACATTTAAATGCTTTCTGAGCTCACTCATGTCGCGCCACAGTTCAGGTTCATAATGTGGTGTGGCTTGCAAAAACCATTTAAGGGGAACACGTTTCCTTTAAATGGCTTTTGCGAGCCCTGCTGCTGCAGTGCGACTCTCAAGTCAACTCCCTTCTGAGCTCACTGGCAAGTTGTCGGCGTGGCTTAGAGCATTCCCATTGCCTTGGTTGCCAGCATGTCTGGCCCAAGAACCGCTCCCCCAAACTGCACAAACCTCAGTAAAAACCGAACATGTTCGTAGGCAGTTCGTGGGAGAAGCAATTGCACCAACCAAGGTTTGCGAACCACAAACCACACCTGGTTCATGACAAACTTCGGTTCATAAACTGTTTTGTGCCCATCCCCTAATAATCTCAGTTGAGTTGTTTCAGCTTCTATGGAGAGTACAGGCTTGATTTGATCTAGAACCCGAGTATTTGTCTTTTTGGCATGTTATCCATCCTTCCTACTTGTAAAACTGTCTTCCAACACCACATTTCAAAAGAATCAGCTTTCTTCCTGTCAGCTTTCTTGATTGTCCAACTTTCACACCCATATATCATAATGGAGAATATGACTGCCCTTGCCTGTATCAATCTCCTTCTGATTTCTTGGTTGTAGTCTCCCTTTTGGTTGATGATGGAGCCAAATAATCGAAAATCTTCAACAATTTCAATTTCATAATCACCCTTAAAGTTATGTAATTCCACAGTAGTCATTATTTTGTTTTCTTGATGTTCAGCTGTAATCCTGCTTTGGCGCTTTCTGCTTTAACTTTCAGCCGTAGTCTTTTCAAGTCTTCCCCTGTTTTCTGCCAGTAATAACAGTATCATCAGACTGTTAATGTTCCTTCTGCCAATTTTCACTTCACCTTCATCTAAATCCAGTTCAGTTTTCCTTATGATATGTTCTGCGTGTAGATTGATTAGATGAGGAGATGAATACATCTTTATCTGACACCTATGCCAACTGGAAACCATCCTGTTTCTACATATTCTGTCCTAACAGTAGCCTCTTGTCTGGAGTACGGGTTGTTTATCGAATCAGTTGGATGTTGTAGCACACCCATTTCTTTTAAAACCAGTAACTTTTCATGATCCACACAGTCAAAAACTTTGCTGTAATCTATGAAACATAATCTGATTTTTTTCTGAAATTCTCCCATATGTTTTAGTAACCTTATGTTTCAGTAACCAGTGTTCATGTTCAGTATGATGTCTAGTGCCTCTTCCTTTTCTGAACCCAGCTTGAACATCTGACATTTCTTGTTCCACAGTCTTTGTTGTAAGATTTTGAGCATCACTTTACTTGCATGAGAAATTATTGCAGTGGTCCTGTAGTTGCAGAAGTCTTTGACGTCTCTTTTGGGGGGGCTGGATTGTAGATTATTAATGTATCCATTATGTGGGCCATTGTTTTGTTTTCCATATTTGCTGGCATGATAGAGCTTTGAATAGCACTATCAATGTCGCGTCTACTCCTGGTGATCTGTTTCATTGCTTTCAGTTCAGCTTTCATTTTACTTTCTAAAACTGCATCTTTTTCAAAAGATTCTTCTTTGAAGGATGGAGGGCTGAGGCACAGTGGCAGAGCATCTGCTTGGCATGTTCAATCGCTGGCATCTCTAGTTAAAAGGACCAGGCAGTTGTTAATGTGAAAGACCCCTGCCTGGGACCCTGGAGAGCTGCTGCCAGTCCAAGTAGACAATACTGACCTTGATGGACCCTTGCTCTTATTCAGTATAAGACAAGCTTTATGGATTCAAGGCATCTATCATCCTTTCGTCTCTTCTGTATAGTTCTTCAGTGTATTTTTCCTGTTTTTTCTTTATTTTGTCCTGTTCAGTTAATGTATTTGCATGTTGATCTTTGAATATGCCTAACTGTGATTTACATTTCCCTTTGATTTCTTGGATCTTGTGGAACAGACCTCTCGTTCTTCCCTTCTGTTATTATTCTCTTCTATTTCTTTACACTGGTTATTATTGTAGGTCTCTCTGTCTCTATGTGCAAGTTGCTGGAGTACTGCATTTAGACTTCTGATTTTAGTTCTGTCACATTTTACTTCTGCTTCTCATCTGTCTTCAGCTATTTTAAAAGTTTCATTAGTCATCCGTTGAGGTTTTTCATTTCTTTTGGCTACTGGAATGTCTTAATAATTTCTCTGGTTTCAGCCCAGAATTCTTCCGTTTCACATTCATTTAAACTTATTAATGCAAATATGTTGTTTACATGGTCTTTAAACTCTTAAAGAATGTTCTTTTTTGATATATTTTACCAGATTTTTGGCTTGGGGGGCCAAACACTCTTACACTAATCATCTTAATCCATTGGAGGAAAATTTTGCTCTGTCAGAGGGCATCTCACTTAGGAGAAGGGGTCTTTAGATCTAACCCATTATTTTGGACCCTTTCTGATGAGTCACTGGGTAACAATGAAATCAGATTTCTCTTTGTGCTTTTTTGTGATTTGCCCAGTTATTCACAGCAGCCTGGATCAAAAGAGCCATGCAGCTAGTTCTGTATATCTAAGTGATTTGGGTTTATTTCTTGGACAGAAGCGCCCCCACCAGAATTCTTAAGACTAGGAGAAGGTTCAAAAACAGCTTATGATATGGCATGCAAGTTTGCCATTGAAAAGAAAAACAGCCAAGATCTGTAAGAACTCTGAAGTGCAAAGTAGACCATATCAGTTATGGTCCAAAATCTCTCTTAGAACAAGAAGAAATCTCTTTTTTTATGTTCAACCTAAAATTAAATGCTGTTTCGAATGGGTATAATTTTTTGTTTTTTTCCATGTTTTAGATTAAATAAAATTATGAATCAGGTTGCCATTCAACGGAAGAAGCAATTTGTTGAAAGGGTGCACAGTTACTGGTTATTAAAAAGGCTGTCTAGAAATGGTGTTCCTTTATTAAGAAGACTACAGTCCAGTTTGCAGTCGCAAAGAAACACACAGCAGGTACGTATATTCTGAAGCATAGTTAAGCCACTGTGTATGAAATATTTATAACATAATTTTGAATAACTACATGAGCAAATCTAACTAATTGGTTTTTGACATTCAGTACTGTAGGACTTATATTATTTTTATACTAATACTATTTTTTCTATTTTAAAGAGGGAAGATGATGAAGAAACACAAGCTTTAAAGGAGAAGTTGAAATACTGGCAAAGGCTACGCCATGATCTTGAAAGAGCCCGATTGTTGATAGAACTTATACGAAAGCGAGAAAAATTAAAAAGAGAACAGGTACATAAATAACTTCTTATTAGGATTTGAAGCCACTGCGTGAATAACCAGAGGCAGAGTAGAGAGCACTCTCTTAATTCTGCTGTTGAACGCTTTTCTTAGCCTTTCTGTTCCATCATATTTGGGAAACAGAGGATGGAAACCGCTCCATGATGAACTAGTGGAGCATTTGTGGTGGTAGGAATAATCATATGCTGACTAAAATTTTAAAGGGCCAGTGTAGGTCTTTTACATACCATTCAGAGATCAGTAGATGGGGGGGGTGTCAACATTGTTTATTTGGGGCAAGGAGCATCTCTTGTCTCCATAAGAGATCTCTCACTCCTTACTTTAGCCATGGTTGAGCATTGCATTGGCACCAGTTTGGAGCTGGTTTAAATACTGATACTCAACTATAGTTGATAGGATAGCAGGAGTGGAATTAAAACAAGGGAGTGTGGGATCCTGTCCTGCCACAGTTAAGAGATCCCCACTCTTAATGTGCCCACTAGCCCCATTTAAATTACATTTGTACTTACCATCCAAACTTTAGTTAAACCTAAAATCCTTATTCACATAGATCAAGATGGGTAATTGTGTTAGTCTGTCTGTAGCAGTAGAAAAGAGCAAGAGTCCACTAGTGCCTTAAAGACTAACAAAATTTATGGCAGGTATGAGCTTTTGTTATTATCTGAAGAACTGAGCAGTGACTCATGAAAGCTCACACCCTGCCACACATTTTGTTAGTCTTTAAGGTTCCAGTGCACAAATAAGTCATTAATTCAAAGCCTTGTATCATGAACCTTTGTCTTTTTATAATTAAACAGTGTGAACCTAAATTTTGTTGACTTCAGGCCACTGAAGATTTTGCACTTTTGCACATTATAGGGGAGACATATATGTGATAAAATATGCTAATTCTTTCAATTTCTTGAAAAATTATCCTGGTTATATTGTCATGTATTATGTGTGCCCTCTTATGAAGTCTCCTTTGTCTTAAATGCTATGTTTAGTAGTATTGCCAAATACAAGCAACATTTTATAATTACGCTATAAGTCTGGTACAGAATAAATCCTGCCTCTGCTGCCTGTGTTACTGGGCTATTTGAAGGGTTATGCTCTTATGCATGCTTGGAAGTATGTACCACCAGTCTTAGTGGGAGTTACTTCTGATTAAAATTGTTTGTGGGATTAATTTTTAAGGCTTGCATGTTAACACTTGCTTTTTTTTTAATAGACATATATGTGTATTGACTGTTTTTTCTTTCTGTTTAGATCAAAGTGGAACAGGTTGCTATGGAGCTTCAGTTAACTCCTTTTACTGTACTACTACGTACAGTCTTGGATCAGCTACAGGAAAAAGATTCTGCGCGTATTTTTGCCCAACCAGTTAATCTTAAAGAGGTGAAATATTACTTTTCCTGATACAGAATATATAGCTCACTAGGACTGTGTCGTGTAATTTTCAGTTTCCTTGTTCTGAGAAACTAACACTTGGATACAAAAATCATGAGCAAAAGTTTTTCTTTGTAATGGAACCACCTATTCTTATCCCCTCACCCGCACATAGCATTAAAAACAAACAAACCCTGCTCCTGATATTTAGAGATCTCAGTGGAAATATTCTTCCAAATTGTTTTGAAGATAATTGTGGTAGTGTTTTTTGGTCAATGTTCAGAGAGCTTTAAAATAGAGGGGAGGGGTGGTAGAGAAGTTTGGAAAGCAAACTCCAGACTGACAAGAGACACCAAATTATATATTTGCATGCAAGTCATCAATGTAGAGGTTTATTTTTCTATGGAGACAGCAAGCAACTGTTTACTTTTCACACATTCATTGTCATTTTGTAAGATTGATTTGTACTGTATTATGTCATAAAGAGGAAAAATGAAATTTGCATGTCCTTTTTTTCAAACCTGTGCTTTAGGTTCCAGATTATTTGGATCATATTAAGCATCCCATGGATTTCTCTACCATGAGAAAACGGTTAGATGCCCAAGGGTATAAAAATCTCACTGAGTTCGAAGAGGACTTCAACCTGATTATTGATAACTGTATGAAATACAATGCAAAAGACACTATATTCTATAGAGCTGCTGTGCGGTTAAGAGATCAAGGAGGTGTTGTTCTGAGGCAAGCTAGACGAGATGCTGAGGCAATTGGCTATAATAATGAAACTGGAATGCACTTACCTGAACGGCCTAAACTTGAATCTCCTGCACCTTTCTCCTGGGAAGATGGTAAGGACACTAAATGGCTGGAACATAATAGGCGGGTTCTAAAATTTGTTCTTTGCAAGTCCCATGTACATCATTAAGTGAGCACCTTAAGGTTGTGGCAAAGGTTGTATATGTTTTCCATTGTGCAGTCGCACCCTCCCAGTGCTGCTTCATAGCATGTATTTGAAATTACTGTAAGATTAAAAGCAACTTGTGAGGGAGTTCAAAAAGACTGGCTGTGTAAGGTGTTTTATAGGGTAAAGTATTGGATTGTGTAAAGCCTCCCCTCAATTTTACTTTGTAGGTGTTGGTACTCCATTTGTAGTAGAAAGAGAGCAAAACTTTTCAAGAGTAAGAAATAGATGCTAGTGTTGATAGGTTTCTCCCATTATTTCTCACAACTCTTCCACATGTTGATTGTCCTCAATATTTATTTTGCTTTCATTGTTTACAGAGAGTTTTTGTATGTTAAAATCCGTGCACGTGCCACAGCTTTCCATTTGCTCTGTTTGTCCTGGGGCGTTTTATCCCTCCTTTTTCCATTTGCATAATTATGTATACCTGGGCCATTTTTTAAAAAATGATCTGATTGTAAGCCACTGTGGTTAAGAGTGTCAGAAAAGTATTTGGGAGACCCAGGTTCAAATCCCCACCCATGCTGAGGAGGTTTGCTGGGTTACCTTGGGCCAATCACACTCTCTCAGCCTAACCTACCTCATAGGATTGTTGTGAGGATAAAATGGAGGAGAGGAGAGTGATATAAGCTGCTTTGGGGTCCCATTGGAGAGAAAAGTGGGGTATAATTGAATTAAATAAATAAGATTTTAGCTATGCATACAGAAGGTTTTTTCCCGTTGGGGGTAGGTACACCAAATCGTTCCTAAATTCTAGTAGATCCCCCCCCCGCTTCCATTAAAAGGTCATGTGTTCATAGCAACACTAATGGTTGATTTACTTAAATGACCACTACTGACCTTTAAAAAAAAAAATTGCTTCTCCATAGTTTCTCAAGAACTGCTCATGAGATTTCGAGGATGGGCAAGGCTTAAAACTGTATAACCTTCAGCCAGTTTGGTGTAGTGGTTAAGTGCGTGGACTCTAATCTAAGAGAACCGGGTTTGATTCTCCACTCCTCCACTTGCAGCTGCTGGATGGCCTTGGGCAAGCCATAGTTCTGACAGGAGCTGTCCTTGAAAGGGCAGTTCTTGAAAGAGCTCTCTGAGCCTCACCTATCTCACAGGGTGTCTGTTGTGGGGAGGGGAAGGGAAAGGAGTTTGTAAGTCGCTCTGAGACGCTGAGTGAAGGGCGGGGTATAAATCCAATCTCTTCTTCTTCTTCTCTTCTACAGTTTTAGTACAATCCTTAGCTATCTAGTTAGAAAGTCAAACACATTCAATATCAAGGAACTATCAAGAAGGATGTTACAAATAAAAGCGTATTTAGAAGATTATGGTCATGGAAGCAACTCGTAAGAGCAGTAGTTAAAAGGAATAGGGTATATTTTGCTTACAGAAAATAAAAATGTTTCCCGTTTGCTCTTAAACTGGGAAGTTAGCTAGTATATTCTCCTTTAATTTTCTGTAATCAAAATATGCTTTGTTTTCTTCAGTCATGAAGTAAGATGTCAGATAATCATGAGGACACACACAACCCAATCAGTTAAACAAGTATAAAGCCAACAGTCATGATAGTCAGACTATCACGACTGTTGGCTTTATACTTGTTTAACAGATAATCATGAGGACCATAATTCATAAACGATACTGAAGGAGAGGCTCGACAAGCCTCCGTTTTGTTTTACAGCAGGATATGAGATGCTCTACTCACGTTTTGATCACTGACAGTACACCTCAACAGCTTGTAGCAAAAATCTTGCAGTGGTGTAGTACTTTGCTGGCCAAATCCCGTAGTAAGAGGCTGGAGAAATAGGTAAAAAGGAATTACATGGCCTTTCCTCATCAGTTTAACACAGGAATCTGCTTTAACTGTTTTAGTCTTTTGGCCTGACTGTGTTGGTTGCAGTGACAGAATAGAATCCTGCAACTTGGGCATTCCCACTACAGCATGCTTGTGCTGTTTTTAAGCTGTGTTTTTACTGCTGTATAATACTGTAGAAGAAAATCTGTTAAATGCTTGTGTTTTAACTTCAGTGGATAGGTTACTGAATCCTGCTAACAGAGCGCACATGTCTTTGGAAGAACAGCTGAAAGAATTGTTAGAGAAACTTGATCTTACCTGTGCAATGAAATCCAGTGGGTCTAGGAGCAAGCGAGCAAAACTTTTAAAGAAGGAGATTAATATGATCCGCTGCAAGATAAGTCAGCAACATCATCAGCCCCCTCAGACTGAATCAGGTATTGGAAGTTTTGAAGAAGAAAATGCAGTATTAGAACAAGAAGGTGAAGAAGAAGGTAAGAGCTTTGCTGGTTATTACACAGATATTACAAAAAGTAGATAACAATCAGCACAGTCAAGGATTCTTTGGGGGTGGGGGTACTTATTTATTGTTACTTGGAAGTCTGGCAGTTGTTAAAAGTTGTGTAAAATCTAATTGCAATAATTGAACTGCTTAGTTTCTTTTAAAGACTTGCTTAAAATCACATTATTTGAATTTCAAGGTACACTAGGGCTGGAATCCATGCACACTTGTTTGGGAGTAATCTAGTTGAACACAGCCAGACTCGACTCTGAGTAAGCATTCACAGGATCAGATTGCACGCTGGCAGCATAGTGCAGAGATGGTGGACTTTGGAAACTAACACATTGTATACAGCTGTGCTGAATTTCTACCTGTTTGAGGCTAGTGGTGAAGCTCCAAACGATTTCACTTTTAATAAGAACTCAAATTTCATATGGTAATAAAGAAGTAGGGATATCCTGAATAAACTAAAAGAAAATGGTGCCTTAACTTGTCAGAGAGCATCTGGTCACCTGATAACTTCTGTTTGTGCATACACACATACTTGTGTGCATGCATGCACACTCACTCTCAACTGTAAATAACCCCAGAGATTATAGACTAATCTGAAAGAGGCACATGTGAATGGAAGCAGTAGGTGATCAGGGATATGGAAATAAACTCATGTGGCTACGTAGCCCAGTGTTGCTTTCAGTTATCCAGCTGTTATCCTTCATAGGAAGTGCATGGAAGTATTGCATTTATGTGGTGGGACTTCTGTCATTTTTTTTAACCACACTGGGAACCGCTCCTTGGTCCTGACATTCCTTCAGCATAATTGTCCATTTAGTGTAAGGGCAAGTCAGCTAGCTGTATGGTCCTGGAGATCATGAATATACATCTTGACTTTGGGTGAATTTACTACATCTATTAACTTCAATCCGCTGTCTTCTACCATCTTTCTCTTTATTTGGAAATATTTATCAAATCAGATATTGTACATGTAATACCAATTTCAAAATAAAGATCCTCAGAACACCCAATTGGTTTTTAAAAAAATCAAACTATTTTGTCAATGATTTTTTTTAAAAATTAAGCCTTTGCAAAAAAAAAAATTGAAATTGTATGAATGAATAACATGTGTTTGTAAATGTCTTTTAACATGTTGAGCTGGGGTACAGATTTTCTTTTTAAACAAACACATCTCACTTTTGTGGCTTTAATGTATAGGAGGAGAAACCATGGGCAGTGCAAGCTATTTTCAAGGAGGGTTGGGGTTGCTGACTTAGAAAAGCACCCACTTGATACTGGTAGTTGAAGATGCTGACAGAATACTTTTGAAGAAGTAGCTGTTTGCCCTTCTCAGTTTGTGTGTCATTCGTGAATATTTGATATTGAGTAAGGACATTCTAATGTTTTTAAAAAAACCAAATAGCAGGCATTCCTACTAGCATGGAATTGCTGTGAAGAACATCTCAATTGGGACTGAAATAAATAGGGTGGAGAAAGTGGGACCTGTAGAGCAGTGGGGTCTTTTTGGATATTCTTCAAAATAATACCTGTAAAATTTTCTGCTAAGTATCTACCACAGACAGTAAGGTTTGGTTCAGATGTAATGGTGAACCGTGCCTTCTTGCTGTTTGAACAGATCTAGATGGAGCTTCAGCTTCACTCAACTATTCTCTCTCCCCCTTGCATAAGCAGGGCTAGTGCTGACCACTTTTCCAGCTAGGATGGTAATTTGGCCTGGAAATGGAAGTAACTAGTGTATTTTTTGCAAATCACATAGTGTGGGGGAAGGGCAGAGGTTGTGCTGAAGTGATCTTGAAACTCCTTCCAGGCTTTCTTAGGTAGCAGTGATTTGCTACTAAATCTGAAACAAGTTTCTATGGATTTTTTTACTGAACTAAAAATGGTAGCCGTAACTATAAAGGTGTTCTGTAGTACTTATAAATATATTAATTTAGGAAAGCTTTATAGTTCCCTATTAATTGTTGTAATTTAAGAGTACAAATGTAAAAATAATCTAGCAGAAACAGTTAAAAGAGTAAGATGGGTATAAATTGTATGTATATGCATCTTACTGAATAGTAAGTGCTTTAATAAATGTCATATTATGAAATACTATGTAATATGAGAAGTAATAGCATTTTAGAGGCTTAAATCTTTGACTCAGCTCAGCACAGTCCACAACACAAGAGTAAGTCCTTTCATTCTAGGGTGACTTACTGTGGAATATATGTGTTGTGGATTATAGCTGAACTTTTCCATGCCCATCTTATTCCCCATGTAAATCCAAGCATTAACTAGGATAGATTTGTATAAAGTTTATATATGTAAGGTGGTATACTCTGTATCAAATAACAATACTTATTGTGGGCTACATATTTGATACTTTTATGTAGTAGCTCTTATAACTTATCAGTTTTCAAAAATCCAACTTTATTAATTTTTTCAGGAGATAAATCTCCCCCTAAACTTGAACCATCAGATGCATTACCTCTTCCTTCAAACTCGGAGACTAATTCAGAGCCACCAACCCTCAAACCAGTAGAACTCAATCCAGAGCAGAATAAGCTTTACAAAAGAGTAAAATTTGACAATGAATTGTATAGTACTTCCATTCAGAAAGAAATAAATGGACACACTCCAGAACACTTACTTGAGAGTAATCCCAATGAGTCGACCGTTTCTGCTGTAGCTGAGTCATCAACTGATGTAAACAGACGTACATCTATTCTCTTCTGCAAATCGAAAAGTGTAAGCCCCCAAAAGTCTGCAAAGAACACTGAAACCCAGCCAACTTCTCCACAGCTAGGGACCAAAACCTTTTTGTCTGTAGTCCTTCCAAGGTTGGAGACACTACTGCAGCCGAGAAAAAGATCAAGGAGTGCATGTGGAGATTCTGAGGTGGATGATGAGTCCCCTGTAAAGCGTTTGGATACAGGTAAATGTTTGCTTTCATATTTCTTTTCAAAGACAACATGGATAAATGCGGCATTTAATATGCAGACCTATATTAGTTAAATTGATTATGTTTGACAGCTTGATATCATATATCACTAGTAAATTTGCTTTATCCATGTTGTCCGACTTGGTATTGGAAGGTGTGAAGTGAAGAGGGCTTGCGTGTGCAATTCTGGTATGTCTGCTCCTTTTCAAATTGTATGAAAGTTTAGGTATTCTCCTCTTTCCTACTAGTCATTTTGAATGCTCGCTGTCCAGATGTTATCTTGCATATTGTGTGCTTTGTATTTAATCGTAAGTAAAATAATTTATTGTTCGTTCAGAAGACAGCATGGTGGATTGACTCTCCCAAGATGTAGCTTTGTGATTGGTCCTTTTTGGTGGTGCCATTTCTGGCAACAGCCACAGACAGGATGAAGGGCAGTTGTACGGTAACATTTATGTTGCAACTTCCAAAAACACTGCTTATCTGTGCTGTTATTCTGAAAAAAAGGTTAGAAACCCTCTAGAATTTTGAGTCATGTGTAAAAACCAGCTGCTTAATTACTTTTATTTAGTCTTATATGTATCTTGATCAGCATTATTGCTCAGATGTACATATCAACTCCTGCATGCTTAATTGGAGGTAGACCATTTCTGAAGAAGTGAGCAGTAACTCATGAAAGCTCATACCCTGCCACATATTTTGTTAGTCTTTAAGGTGCTACTGGGCTCTCGCTCTTTTCTACACATAATTGGGTATTTTTATAGATGTTGGAGTGCATGTGGAGATTTCCCGGAGGTTGGAGATATGTGGTAATGCTGACTGTGACTTGTCTATGTTGTTGATACTTTCATGTGATAAATGAGCTGTTCTTTTCTAAAAAGAAAAATGTGTGCATAGTAATGCTTTAATTTGACTTCATTGTCTACATTTGCAGAACAAAGATAAACATTAAAAGTTTACACGTTGTTTATACATTATGAAGTTATCAAACTATATAAAATTCATTCTTGAAATGCAAAATAGTCAATGGTGCATTATCATTACTTTATACTTGCTTGTCAAGTTGTTTATAATTGGTGGTGTTTATCATTATAATATAATTGACAACTTACAATTGGTGAATTTCTTTTCAAACATCCTTGTTCTGATCCATTGATCACAGCCATAAAAAGGCTAGGAAATCAATATAAGACCATGTCTAACAGGCAGGCATCTACATCTGTTCCATTTGTGTTAAAACGTAATCTGCACAGTGTATATCCAGGTGAAACAGAAAATCTAATCCTTCACGTAGGGGGTATGCATGTACACACACACTTTGAACTGGGTCCAGTGCAGTTTTAGACCCAGTTTTACATGGGGCCTGGTGATCAGTGTCAGCTGGAAACACTCTGTCACATCATGAGCCATTGGCTTTAAATGGTGATCTCCTTGAGTGCTGTCATTTACCCTTTCTGGTTTTATATCCACATTTTTTTATCTACCTGGATTTTCTTAGATTGTTTGGATTGTGATCTGTATAGTTATCAACAATGACTGTTCATAGGTAGCACCTGGTGACCTGCTTCTTCACAGGATCACAGAAAATGTATCACATATTAGGATTTGTTTTTTGCTCTGCTGTAACTCTTATGTTACTAAAGGGTGCTATTTTGACTCACAAAGCTAAAGACTTTGCATAATAGATTTCTGAGAGTCTAAAGTTCATTTATTATTGCAGTTCATAACATTGGTTCATAACTGCATTGACCAGTACTTCTGTATTTAATCAATATATGGAATGTTCAAGGAACTTCACCTGGCAGTTTATCTGAGCAACTAATTGAAGCATATTCTTGGGTTTGTCTTGATGGAGAACAGCTACTGGCTGATTATATAGGTTGAAAATCTACATTTTACAAATGAAATCCACATTTTTGTTTTCTTGAATTATCCAAAGGACCCTCTCATCATAGCTTCCCTGCCTCTTCCCATACTTCTCACTTCAGCCCTTTCTCTTCTAATGGGGTTGTTGTAAAACTAAAAGTCTACTGAACAGTAGCTGTACAGTCTTCAGTGAAAGATGGAGTAATCATAATTTCAGCAAGAGCAAATCCTTTCAGTCCTATATCTCTAGCATATATTGATGTTATAAATTTTAAAGTATTAAAGGTCTAGAAAACAAGGGAGGCTATAGTCCCAGCCCAGAATCGTTTTCTTTGATTTTTTGTATCAGTAACAAAGGGGTTAAAAAGCAGTTGCAGTGCTATTGGCTTCTGTTACTTCAAAGCCTTTGTGTGCATATATATTTTATGCGAACTAGAAACATAATTGCATAAAATCTTGCACAAAAGTCATTTCAGTCAGAGACCAAATATTTTTCTCCTTGACTTTGATGGCATGCTGTTTTCAAAGCTCTTTGTAGTAGTCATCTTGCTCAGTTGCCTTGTTTTGTTTTTAGGTACCAGTCTTTCAGTCTTTACTCTCATTTGGTTGCATGTGGTGAAAAGAGGTTTCAACCTAGCTTCGGACTTCTTCAATTAAGTGTTATAAAATGTATTGTGAATATTAATGATCCTTGTTACTGATAGGGGGGATGGGCATGAACTGAATCATGAAGCAAAATTCATCACAAATTTTGCCCTGTTTATGGTTCGCTAACAGAAGTTTGTGATGGGTCTGCTGTCATGAACTTTTAAAGCAGTTCATGGTGGTTCGTGGATGGGAGCAGAAAGCAGGGGTTTAAAGGAACTCTGAATCCCTTTAAACCTCTGCTTTCTGTTCCCCAGGGAAGCCGCAGAAACATCTGAGCAGCAGGGAGGCACTCCCTCTGCCACTCAGTTGTTTTTCAAGCTTTATGCAAACCCTGTCGAAAGGGACTGTGATCCCTTTCAACAAGGTTTGAGCGGCTACAAACCATGAATCAGTTCAGTTTGTGATTTGGTTTGTGGTTCAGCCATGAACCTCATTTTCCTGGTTTGTGCCCATCCCTAGTCACTGAAGCATTTGTTTTTTAAGAAATCTAAGAAAAGCTTTTCTCTTTCTGTCTCCTTACAATTCATGCAATATGTTATCTGTTTGCAGCAAAAATGGTCTTCCATAGTGTTGTATTTATTAGAATTATAGCTTAGCTGGCACCAGTATAAGGACAGCTGTATAAAAGTAATAGGCTGTCCGTTGAACTAGAAAATGTTAGGAGAAATATTGAATTGAAAGCGCCAAATTTTTCAGTATTTCACAGAAAGTGTAAGGAAAGACAAATGAATCCATTCTGTTCATATATCTCCATGAGAAAAAGCAAATTTGCTTCTGTAGGTTTCTACATTACGCAACTGAAATAAAGTTCAGAATGTTTAAGAAGAAAATGCTTTCTTTCCCTTGGAACAGTTGATAATATCTAGAAACATGTAACTGGCTTGTTCTAAATAAATCTCTAATACATTAATCTTCAGTTTTCAAGGCATAGTAACACTAGGCTGATATCCAGTACATAGATTCTGAAAATTTTCAGCAATAGTAGCTCATTCTGACCTTTCCCTGATTCAAAAATTAAAAAAAAAACAAAAAGCTAATCTTAAAAAACCAGATCTGAAATATGATCAATCCCCTCCTTTGTTAAATTATCAGTTAAATCTAAGTCTACTTGATAATGATGATTTCTTTTTGTTTCCATGTGCTGAAAGTTAAACTTAAATCTTGGTGTTTCAGTAGTGTCCAGCAACTCTTCTCAGCACACAATTCTGCTCATCAACCGCACACATTCCAAAATGACGTGTGAGCTGCTTTCTTTGCAAGTATCTTTTTGTGCTGTTGAGGCATCTTCAGAGTTACTCAGGCTGATTTTCATAAGGAGAAATTAAGTACACAGCCAGCTTTGGAAACTTTTACAATAGATTAAATTAGTCATCTTACTCTCATTGGAAGGAATTTTTACAAAATAAGTAGTCCATGTTCTTGGTATGTCTTAAGACTAATGGCTCCTCAATGCTCTGCTGCTAATGCTTTTGATGATGAGCAGTTGATTCAAAGTGGAGGCTGTTTCAGTCTCACTTACAAATTTATGTTAAGTAGTAGAATATGTGGAAAGTTTGCTTAGCTTTTGCTAATCTTTTCTGGATACTACTGGGAGGATGGCTTATTTATTTACAGCTCTTTTTCCTTTCAGTGAGACTAAATGGCTTTTTCACTGTCTTCCAGGTTCTCATATTAACTAATATGCTGAGTATTTATCTATTTGGATCCTAATTATTTTCTATTATCCTGAACACGGACTGGAATTCAATGTAATGATCATTTTGGAACGCAGAAAGACAATTACATTTCAAGTAATTATTTTGGATCATGTTGGAGACACCAGCCATCCTTAAAACAAAATCAGTATCTTGAACACTGTTGGAGGAAGTCTTTGATATATATGAACCTATGCTCTTCATTCAGTATATTTCCCCATCTCCGTAAGTTATAAAGTTGTATGTTACAGTCTGTGACATAATTTGTCGCAATTTTACCAATCCCCAGGACTCTTACCTCAGAAATGTTCCTTGTGGGTTGATTGGTTAAGAATGTTTCTTTCCCGGTCTCCATTCCTCTGCAAACAACATTCCTTGGCCAGGATTTAGGTTCCCTTAACTTGTGCACCAATTACGGTAACTACTTTCCCCTCAGCTTTTGGTTTCATAAAATATGAGAATCTATAAAGAATGTAATAGTTACTAACATTCCAACATTTTGTACAAGTACCAAGTGGCAGAAACTGGCTTTTTGGGAGTGCCTCCTCTTGCTTATTGAACATACTTGTCTGCTGTGCACTCAAGCTGTGCAGAGAAGGAATTATTCTTAAGCAGAAGGCAGATTGAATTCCTAAATGCAACATTTTGTGTTACTTTTCACACTTTTAGAGGTCATCTTCACTTTTCCCTTCTGCTCTTTCATGATTGCTTGCTTGCTTGCTACTGCATTAAGTCTTTGAGAGATCAGTATAGAATCATAGTTAGGAGACATGATCTGTACCACTTATATACATTTCTTTATTTATGTACATATTTAAAAACTCTGAAAATGCGCTCTTCATGTTTGTAAACTCAGTTGTTAGGGGTTTATTGTCTTCTCCCACCCCACCGCAGTTCAAAAATACTGCAGTATTTTTTCCCACTGGTGTACGCGGTCTGTTTCATCTAAAAACTAATGCTGTCATGGATGTATGTTTCAGCAAAATGTAGAATACACTAATAGTGAAAACTGCTCTTACTAAAGTTGCATTACTTTTTAAACTGTCCACTCCAGTAGTCATTCATTTATGGTTTCATATTCTCACCCCCACCCCCCATGCATAGCCACTTTTGTGGAAATCCATGGTTTGCTGTTACATCAGAACTAGAAAATTATATTTCATGTATTCTCTCAAAACCCGGAGTTCAAACACTGCTTTGTTTCTCGTTGAATCCCAAAAGGGGGGAGGGGGAGTTTACTGGCTTGATTATAATGACAAAATGTGGTTTGCCACATAAGCAAAAATAACTAATTAGCATGCCAGATGAAAGGGTGTGTGAGAGAGCATTTTCACAGAACCCCAGATCACCAGGCTTGTTCTTGTATAATTTACATATAACCATGTAAGGTTGTTGTATAGGACATATTCTTTAATAGGCAACTGACCATTGATATCTTAGAGGCTTGATTTAAATAGTCATCTGAAAACCAAGGCTGTGGAGTTGAAGTGAGTATGTGACTTTCCTCCTTGCTTCTTTCTATGTGTCTTGCCTTTCAGGTTGCTTTTGAGCACAACCTTAGTTGGCTGTGAAGGCTTAAATTGACAAGCTGTGGTTGATGTCTCTCCCCCAAATCAGCTGTGTTTCCCCCCCAAAAAATTTGAGCCCCCGGAGGGGATTTTTTATTAATTTTTTATCACTACAAAAAACTACAACATAAAAAAGGGGAGTGGAAAACGACACATACAGGAGAAAGTAAAGTACCCACTACTATCTAAAAACCCAAGAGAGGAGATCCTCCAACTAGCTTTGCTACATCAAGTCTTTTCATCGTTGTTCTGTTTATAAACTGAGTCAAACGTTTAAAACTTTTTACCCTCAACGTTTACATTTAACTGCCCAATAACAGTGTTTCCAGATTTTTGGTTTGTAGGGGAAAGTACTGATCATAGGATGCTGGTTTGGATATTATGGCAGTTTATGGGGTTGCACTAGAAAGAAACACAGAAACAGGAAGGTAGTGAGTCTTTGAAAATAGAGTGCGAAATGTGAACCATTATTGGGGCTTTGGAACAAATCTGTCATTGTGCCAAAATGTGGAACAGGTTGAGGTAAAGTTTTGTGGTTTCCCCTTTTCCTCAACAGCACAATCTCTGAAGACCCTAAAGTTACTCAAAATGCTGGTAGCTCTTAAGCACTTCTATTTAGCATCAGGGCCGGTGCCAGGTTTTTTTGCACACTAGGCGAGGCTACCTTCTGGCACGCGCCCCCTCCCCGGTGTGCCCACCAATTTTCAAACATAAATGCATTTTAGGAAGAATGAAAAACATTTGGAATTGCTATTTTTTTAATTCTGAGAACAAGTAATACAATCTCTGTTTTTTTCTTTCAAACAGAAAAACACGGATCACAAAGCATTTTGAAAAGTCCTGTTAATTGTGATGTTGAAATTTAAGTCTGTTTAATTTTTCCATTTCAGGCGCATCAGACACACACCTCACACACAAACCAGGGCACTCAGTGGGCCACAAGTCTGTGCATGTTAAATGATGCATTTAAAAATCACATCATTTTACTTCAGATTAATCTATAAGCAAGCTCAAGGTCAGCATGTGCTGACTGGTTTACAAACAATCCTCATTCTTAACAGTTAATAAGACATGGATCTGGGAGACTCAGGTTTAAATCCCCACTCTACCATGGAAGCTCGCTGGGTGACCTTGGGTCAGTAACATGCTCCTGTGAGACTGGTTAGTCGAAGAGAGCATGACTGGCCCATGCTATGAGAGCCATTACATGCAGTACAATCCTAAGCAAAGTTACTCCCTCCTAAATCGATTGAAGTCAACAGGCTTAAAGAGTAGAACATAGTTTGTCCAGTGGCATGTTTAAGATCAACAAAGGGGCTGCTCAGGGCTTTCTTGTGGTTGGCGGGGAGGGGGTGGGGTGGCAGGCCAGTGGCGCCCTTCTCAGGTGGCGCCCCTAGGCAAGCGTTTAACCTCGCCTTATGGAAGCACCGGCCCTGTTCACCTTTCCCTGTCTTCTGGGAATCACTGTGTTGATAATTATTCTGTAGGCAGTGTTACATTGAACTATGTGTTCACAGCATATTGCTGACAGTTTGGTTTTCATTTTTGTGTATTTGTACTGTGTGTGTTTCTGCATATATTTCTGCATCTCCACAGCACTGTTAAGTCTTGGAGTATTGGGGAAATATTGGGAATGAAGCTTCAGCTGGGTGTGTACTTAAAAGAAGTGTACATAAATTTTTTGTTTTCAAATGTTAGTTTCTACAGTGCAGCTAACAAAGGAGTTTAGTAGATGGCATACTGATCACTAAAGATCAGGAATCCCAGGCATCTGATTTCCTAGCCTCCTAGAAACTGTAGTGCCTGACCGCCTCCTTCACCCAGTCCTAACCCAAGCGCACGTGTTGGGTTATGCTGAAATCACGAACTTATAAAATTTTATTGTGATTGTGTTAATTATTTTAAATGTCATTTCTGTTTGACGAGGAATTTTTATTTGCAGGAGGTTTTAATCCTTTAATTGCTAATTTCCAGTAACAGCTTTTCACTAAAATGTCTGCATGTTTGCTCTTCTGACTCATGGAATCATTTTCCTTAGGCATTATCCTCCTATAATGGTCAAATCCTCCCAAAATGTTCAAATCAGAATCGGCATGGAGATTTCAAAGGAGACTTTTGCACTGTCACTAACTATTTATTACAGCTTCCTTTGTTACAATTTTCTGGTGCCTAAGTATATTCCAGTGTCTACTGTCCATAACTGTATATATCTCATATAATGGGGAACTTTGTTTCTCCATGCACATGAATATCTTTCTGTACACCAGAATATTTGGATATAGGAAGAAGTCATTCCTAGGATTCATGTGTACTGTATGTAGTTCTAGAATTGGACGTGTCTGGATTTTATTGCCACAGATTTATAGCCTATTTGTAGCTCAGGGTGTCTAATATATGACCCAAGCATAGCTTGATTTTGGTGACTGGTATTTTTCACAACAAACTTAGCTGTTTAGAAACGATATATTAACAGTATCTCCTTTAAGATGCCCAAAGAGACATAATTCTGTGCTTCCACTATTCACCATTTCTGAAACAGAAAAAAAAGAGGAGAGCATTCAGGTTCATTTGTACAGCAATACTGATGACCTGAAGTGGCACATCTGCGATCTTGATCGGTAACCAATTGAACTCTTGTCTAAAATGTTTCCTTCTCAATTTTAAAACAAAATAGCAAGGTTAAAATAAGGTCAAATTAACAGTTCTAATTACTGTAAGTGGTATGATGGTTTGGATTTGTTCAATAGTGGTGGCTCATTGACTTATGTGCAGCCCTGTGACTTATGTGCAGCCCTGTGTATGGCTTCAGAAACTTCTGTTGCTCTAATGGACACAGTGTGCCCTTTTATCTCTTGAGATGATTTACGTAAAGGCTGAGAGGCTGAGGACAGCATCTTTTCATTTTGTTCTGACTGCTGTTTTGTAGAATGTGCACTGTCACAATTCTTGTGGTTTGCATGCTATGTAATCATACTGTTGCATTTGTAGCAGGCAAGTTTTCAAAACCGTATTATTTGCTTTAATGAGATTTTAGTTAATTTTGTATATTCTATTGGACCTTGTTCTAAATGTACTGTTTAACAACAATACTGTTTAATATGCCTTGTGATCTCCATTTCTTCCTTGGTCTTTGTTGTTTCTTCACTGATGTCTACATATTTCTGTATGTTTCTCTTGATAGTGTCTCTTTTCTCTTACACATGTTTCAGTTGTATTAAGAGGTTTTGTGTATATTGAACAGTGTGTTAATGCACTTCCAAATCACATGTATTTCTCTCTTAACTGGGCAGGCCTTTCAAATGGTTTTGGAGATGGCAGTAAAGACTCAGAGTTAGATGGCACACCAGGAAGAAAAGTAGAACCTCGTCGCCGTTGTGCATCTGAATCTAGTATATCTTCAAGTAATAGCCTTTTGTGTAACTCAAGGTAAAAGTGTGTTCTTTTTAGTCTAAGTAAAAATCTAAACTGAAGCACTGAATATGCTGGCTAAAACTGGAGTGAAATGTCTAAATTAAATGAGCATCTGCAAACCTAAAAAAAACACCCGGTTTCATTTTTGTACTGCAGAATGGGTGCTCACACAATATTTTTTTCATTCAGGCCAGCATATAGAAAGGATAGATGAGCAGCCCAACTAAAAACTTCAGTATCCATGTAATAAATCTGATAGTTAAATTGTTGTATTTGTAACCTTCCACAAAGAATTAGAATGTTATGTACCTGCAAGCAAAAATAATTATCCTTATTATTTTTCTAGTAACTCTTCAAATGCTTGTAGTTTTAGCCTGCCAAAATGTGGAAAAGGCAAACCAGCGCTTATACGAAGACACACGCTAGAAGACAGAAGTGAGTTGATATCATGCATTGAAAATGGAAACTACGCAAAAGCGGCGAGAATTGCAGCTGGTAACTGACACTTTTATCAACACACAGGATAAATACATAGAAGCCAGAGCTGGCTACCTCGAGGGCTTTTTGCACAAAAGAATCGTATCCTCCAAAGGCCATGTGCACTAGTGCCCAGCTAAATGGAAACCCCTGCCCTTTGAAAGCTAGTGTGGTTAGAATGTCTGTGTAGGATCTGGAAGTCTTAATTTCAAATTACAGAAAGATCACTGGGTGATCATTCTTTCTCAGCCTAATTTAGCTCACAAGGTTGTTGGGAAGCTGTTTGGAGAAAGGACAGGATAAAAAAAATAGATTAGTTATGTGGGACTAGATACAAGGATCCATTCCATTAGGACTTTTTGATGGTGGAAGAGTTTCTAGCAACATTATTTGAGTCACTTTAAAGACAACAGAACTTTCCAAGATGTCAGCATTTGTGACACAAAGTTCATTTCATTAAACAAATCTGATGAAATGAGTTTTGCCTCATGAATACTTACATCTTGGGGAAAAATTGTTAGTATTTAGTTTTACTGGACTCAGATTTTGTTTTGGTACTACAGATTAACACAGCTAATAAGTAGCCAAGTGAAACTATCTTGCAACATAAGAAGGCTGCATCCACTTGAGGAAAGTACTTTTATCAGAACAGATTAATGGAGTCCAACCATTTGAGTGAGTCTTGATTTATTATGGCATTGTCCTTTGAAGAGGAGACCTTGCAACTTTCCCATGATCCTGGTGTTTCTCCTGTCTCATATAACCCCCCCCCCCCGCACATGTACACACCTCTTTATCCAAACTCTTCTCTGGTCAGCCGTTCTTGTTTCCCTTTTTACAAGTTATTTATTTAAAAAAACACAGGTTTGGTTTTCTCCCACAGGGTGGGACTTGATGTGGATGTTGCAGGTATTATTTTTATCAACCAGCTCAATAAAACAAGTTGCCAGTAGGCTTGAAAGATTTGTAGATTTACTAGACTATTTTTCTTTGTGGTCTCTGTGCAGTCACACTGACATTTAAACATACACAGGATTGGTTTGAAGAAGCTTATAGAGCTAAGCTTAAAAGGAATTTTTGGCACAGTTTCATCCTTTAGAAGCACCTGGTAGCAACACACATGCTCAGAAAGAGCGGAGCTGCACTTTCCACATACTTCTTTCATTACTGCAGGTGGAGACATCTCAAAGAACTTCTCTTATGAGCTAGGCCACTTCTTAAAAAGAAAAAAGTTTACCCTTTTTCACAAACATTTTTTGCTGATGAAATATAGTATTTCCTCTTTCCTTTCATCTTGCCTTTTGGACACATCTTTCCCCCTTTCTTCCAATGGGAATGACACTGGAGGGCTGGCCCGTAGCTGTGGTAGGGCATTTTGCGGCCACGCCCCTCACGTACAGGCCCAGGCCCACAAGTTCTGGCCCTGGAAAGGCTTTTTAAAAACATAATTATAACTTTTAGAAAAAAGTTTTTGGCCACACCAAGCCACTTGTGCTGCACTGCACCCTGCCTGGCTGGTCCTGATGTCATCGTCGCTCGTCCACCCTCAATGGGCCTGGGCTGGGAAGGGAGACCCATGCCCAAAGGGAAGAGGCGGCTGCTCCTGCGGACCTCTTCTTGCCCTGCTGTCCATTCGCTGACCAGACATTTTGGCCACTGAAGGCAGCTGCCTTGCCATGCTCTGTGTCCTCTGCCCAGAGTCCCAGTGAGAAAGGCAGGCAGGCAGGCGGTGAATGACAGCCGAGGAAGAGAAGCCAGCATGGACGTCACCTGTTCCCAAAGAGGCAGCCAAGGTTGGGGGAAGTGTCCTCTCTCTCTCCACCCATCCAAAAAAGATTGGCCCAAGAACATCTGATGCAAATGCCTTACCTTGAGATTTGGGGGGGGGGGTTGTTCTCCAGGGTTTCCTCTAAGCTGAGTTAGTGTGAGCCAGCTCACCGTTTCTTAGCCTCCGGCTCACACATTTTTGTCTTAGCTCTGGAAGGATGGCTCCAAAGCAAACTAATTAATGTAGCAGCACAGTCACTCGCTCACAACTTTCATGCCAGTAGCTCACAAAGCAGAATTTTTGCTCACAGGACTCCACAGCTTAGAAGGGAGCATTGGTGTTCTCTTGGGTGAGGCCAGGTGTGACTTTTCAGTTGAGAGAGGCAGAGAAAAGCTAGCAGGGAGGGTGGACCCTCACCTCCTGAACTTCTATGCAGTTCTCTTCTACATTCTCTGCCCCTTTGCGGGGGGAGGGGAGTGTCACCCAGCAAGAGAGTTTCCCTGCCGGAGAACTTGGTCAGCTCCTCTCCAGGGGGAACTGGAAGGCAGGCACAGTGCTGTGATTCCTTGCCTTCTATGGCTGTAGGCCTGCTTTTTGCTCTCTTTGGCAGGGCTCCAAGTATATGTTGTGATGTCATGCCCCACCAGTTTTCCCAGTGCCCCCCCCCCCCGAAAATTTCCTGGCTATGGGCCTACTGGAGGGCGAGGTTCCTTAGATTCCCCCTACATTTTTTTCTCTCTTTTTGTATGGCACAGAAGGCTTTCTTGAAGCTCTGTTTCCGGCAAGGGAGAATTGCCCACTAAAACATTCATGCAGAATGCCTCTTGTGTCTCAGTGAACTACATCAGGTTGATTTCTGCCATCAGTGTTATGTTTACTAAACAAGCCTGTAGGAATTCCTGTCCTGTCTCCATCTTCTGCTTATTGAGTATTCTTTCTTGACTTTTGTGGATCCTCAGTCCTAGCTTCCGCCTCCAGGTTGACCCATCAGGCAGACTCCATCCCAAACTTGGATACAGTGTTGACACTGCCTACTGCTAATGACTTACCCCTGAAGTGTCCTCCTAAGTCGAAGCTCCTGTCCATTGAGGTGAAGAAGAAGAAGGGTAAGGGCCATAGTTCATATAGTAGCTCTAACGCTGCCCTCTTCAGTTAATGCCTTTAGATCAGTGGTTCCCAAACTTTTTGGGGCCATTGCCCCCTTGGTTCCATGAACTCATTCCCAGGGCCCATTACGCTATAAAAAGCATTATTCAGGATTGTGGTTTGTACAAGCCACTAAGGAAGATAACTGTAAATTTCAAAACAGTGACAAATAATTACATATTTATTTAAAATCCAATTTTAGCTTAATTTATTCAACAAAATTGATGAAATTGATCCAGTGAAGAATAATAGATATCACATTCAGTAACAACTCCACTATTCATTAAATTTTGAATGCAATGTATCAGATAGATTAAGTGATATTAGTCTCCCAATATCTGGTTTAAAGTCATTTAGCAAGAGTCTTAAATCACTGTGTTTAGTAATCTGGAGTCAATTACTTTGCTTGCAAAGATGTTGGATGGACCACACTAAACCACGTTCCACCAAATACAATGGTGGAAATGCAACAAGGAGCTTTTTAATCACTGTCTATAGTGCAGAATATTGATCAGAAATTTTCTTATTTAATGAGAACTCTTGGTATGATTTCTTAAACTTTGGCTTCAACTCAGTCTCATTTTGTAGCTCAGTTAGTTCTTCCTCCACTACCCCAACTTCCTCATTATTTGAAAATGAATTTATCTCCCAGTCTGAAACTTCCATCAAAAGAAAATTCTCAGATTGCTCAAGCATATCATCATGCAGCATATCCAAATGGTCACTAAAAACTTTCAGATCATCATCTTGTATCCTACACTTCTATTCTAGCTCAGACAGGCTCAGAAATTGGTATAGCTCACAACGGCCTGTATTGCATTTTAATAGAGCTGGTCTTAATAAGGTAGACTTCTGCATATTTATTTCATTGAATTTTGCAAGTAGTTCTGATAAATAGGCAATGTCATGTCTGATCTCTTTGAGTTCATCACTAAGCAAAGCATTCATGTCTTCAGAAAACACCACAACAGTGTAAAAACGGTTGTATAAGTCTCACACAGCTGCCTTTTTATAGTTAACAAACTTCAGTATAAAGCAGCAAACATTCAAAATCATCTCATATGCACAGACACACACTTTCACCTACCACAGATGCATGATAACTAATGAATAAGAAAATCAATAACAGTTACCAATAATTGACTATCTTGTGACAACTCATAAATACAA